GCTGCTGTTGGTATGGGTGTACGTGTACATAATGCCAGGAAAGGTATCTATCACTGGCGTCAGCTCGAAACGTGGCACAATAGAGGACAAGGGCCTTTACCTGGGTCCTCGAACGTTGGCTCTCCCCCTACGTCCCTCCCCATCCCAACGTGTATTGGCCACCGTTCCACTCTACCATTTTCTATAGCGTTCCTCTCGCTTTTACCAGGTATATCCCTTCTCCCTTTCCCTGTGGCATCGGCCAGCGATGGCTACGAACGGATAGAAGAAACCACCCTCGATTGCAGAGTCCTAGGCAGGGACTTCTTATAAAAACCGAAAAAATACTGGTATTTACTTCAGTGTTCAGTAATATATCGATTTCGGTATAGCTTTGGTGGCATCATACCGGTTTAAGTCCCTGGTTCCAGTAGCTGGAAACACCAAGCTGTTTTTTGAGTTTGAAAAGTGTAACTTAATACACTCAGGCTCCGATGTCAAGAATTTACTGTTTAACTTTTTATGTTAAATAAAAAATATACGTACTCAACAGAAATCGGGACGTGATTAGAAATAGGGACATTGATCTTACGGTTGGAAGAGTAATAATGCGTTCGAGTGTTTCGGGCCGCACCCAAAAGTTTGGTGGACCGCAGAGTATGGCTGCCCTACAGTCTTAGACCTTTTGTTTTTTTAAACACCCTGTATATCTCTACTGCCAAACTGCCCTTGTAAATACAGCCAATCCAATCCATGAACCCTCTATCTACACAATTTGTACAGAATTGAAACCAATTGAAAAGCCTCGAAAGAACGTTATTTTTCCTTTTCTGAACGGAAAACTGGGGGAGTGTGCTCCGTGAATTGTTTCCGACTGCGTGGAGAGTTTTTGTATCTTTGTTGAATTCGGAAAAAGTAACGCGGGGGTTGCGGTTAAACGGCAAAACGCCTCCATTGTCCGCCCTCTCCCCAAGATCGTTCGACGATTTACCATCGCGCCAGAATGCATTCCAATGCCCTTTTACCCCCGGATTGACGCATTATGCCGTGCATCGACCTGGAAACACGAGAACGCTCCGTCTTCTCGGGGGTAGGTACGCGAAATGCATGCCAATTTTTTCGTGTATACGCTGCTGTGGTCCCAACAGCGAAAAATCTCGTCTCTACGCGCGACAGCCACTCTTTTCTTGATATTTTTCGTTTACGACCAAGTTTATTGTCGTAAACAGCGTATCATCTGTTGAATGCATGTAATTAATGAAATGAAATAAATTCTTAAGTAAATTGGACATTTTTAAGGATGACTATAGTCGCCGTTAGTGATGAAAGGGTTAACCCTCGAGGACACGGACTGTGACTACGCCATTCCCTTTTTTTTTTGTAATTTTAAAGGCATTTATCTTCGAACCTCTTCGCGCACTTCAGTGACTTACGTATTCTCGTCCCGTGGTTCCTCTGTACAACGACAGAACACTTTCATTGCCGATGTGTACACCACCCGATAATTAGTATTGAAACGCGTGCTTCCGTGTGTGCAATTCGTAATTACGCGTGTATCGTTGCGCACGTGACCCGCATGCGCAGTTGGGCGTATATACAGGCATTGTCGAGGTGCCCAAAGTACAAGGAACAGAGAGACCCGATTGTTGGGTGTACACGCGCAAAACTAACTGGCGTTTTCGAAAAAAAAGTCTTTATTAAAATTGACCTGTCTCACCCCACGTCTGTCGCTCGGAATAGACCCCAACGGGGGTTCAAAATTCAAAGTTTTGCAACTCGAGTGGTTGAAAAAAAAACTGGTTTTATTTTCCGGAAAAAAAACGTCAATTAATTATTAAGATTGTTCCAATGCACATTCACCCCAGTACCTTTCGTATCATCAGTATTACAATTAATCGAAAATTGGTAGAATCTCCCCTATTTTCTATTACGTTTCACCGTTTATTTTTATCTGGCAAAAGTTGAATTCTCCTCGTCGATAAAACGACACGAAAGTACGATACCGACTGAAATGCAACGGCTAGATATTTTTCGCACGCATAATATGCCGAAGGCCTAATGTAATAAGATTCCCGTTTCGTCATCGACACACCCGTGTCCATCCATAATTTTGTAACCGGAAACACGGGGCCACGGTTGATTAAATTTCCCTGAGACAACAGGCGGGACCATTGTGATACCGCCACTCGCCGTAGATAAGAACAGATACTACGGGAGAAACGAGTTCGGTGGAAGTGGGACAAACCTAACGGATCAACTGTCTTTATCTCCGACGAAATTGGCGTCGCCCGAGACAAGGTTTCTTTTCGTTTGAATCGGTTCGTATTAGTGTCGGTTAAACTAATTCGATTTCTGTTAATACTAGAACTACCGAGCCAGTCAAAATGACTGGTCGATACATTCTTACGGCGACGATTAAAATGTTATAATGATACATATTCTCAGATCTTTTGTAACTTTTATTACGACGCGACATTAAAGATATTAGTTAATTAAAGAAAAAGATATGTTGACAAAATATTTTTTTTATCTTTTATTTAATGCAGTGTACAGACGACACCGCGGCACGTGCTCCGTATCCTTTGCAATCGTCGACCGGTGAGGTCAACGGGTTTAACTTCGTTCACGCAATTGGACGGATTAACGTCGTAATAAATCTCAATTAGGTCGACTCCCACGCGCCACGCTCCTGACTACCGGAGGGGAAGATTTTCAAAGATTTTTATTTCGACTGCGAGCGGTCAAAGGGGATCGACACATCTTCGTGTGAATCACCGCAGGTGTCCCCTCTCCCCATTTATCGTTCGTCGATATGAATACTTCAAGCGGATTGATCTCCATTTATTCCCCAAGCCACCCCTGTGATCTCCAATCATCATGTTTCAGACACGAATGGTTAGCAAATTAAAACCCGAAAAATGCCCTTTTTCGAGAATTGATACTTTCAATATTTATCAGAATTTTTTACGAGGAAAAAAGTATGTAATACTTATTCAATGTAATATATACCGTCACTTCGTTAACCCGTTCTTAACAGAATCGTCTAATTACAAAAATAATCCAGGTCGTAAGTACGTTGACTAGGGGGGCATTTGGCTGCCGCCCCGCCCTACCGCATAAAACGACTTATAGCCCATTAACGTTGAACCCACTTAACGTTACGCGGCACAATCTGCCCTTGGTACCATTCATAATGAAGTGCTCTGTACACAACCAGAACACCGCGTACTCGTCGATATCACGGCAATATAACTCACATGACCGCGTGCAATTACCTCTATAATTAAGCGAAACTATGCGCGATAACAGAGAACGCACTTTGGCGAACGATCTTCGTAGAGGTCACTGATCTCGATGGAATACACATCGAAAACGCGGTGTAAGAGGACTTTGGAAACGGAGGAACTGGGAACAAATACAATGTACCCTTGCGAGTAAACTCTGCTTCTGTGAAACTACGCTCGAATGTGAAAAATATTTTTGCAGAAAAAAACAGCAAATTGAAGCTTGTATAGACTTTAACTATAGGTATATGTACATCATATACTCTTGCTTTTAATAAATCGCCAATTTCTTTTCCCATTTTTTTTAGTTTTAAGAATTATGTTTATATCTTTCTATTCTTAGTTTCAGTGTTAAATAAATATGTATGTTTATTTTATGCAATCCACGTATAAAATACATACATGTGCCTGATGGGGAGTGTTATGGGCAAAAGTCTGGAGACCTGGCCCCCCTCAGACAAAAATCCTAGTTACGCTTATTGTATATTTCTTCCTCCGAACAGGTAATATCATTTTGAAGAATTTTGTGGTATGTGTAATGAATCTGTTCTCGATTTGTTGAACAACCAGTATCACTGATCGAAAGGCCAGTTCTATATTACGTTTGAGGAGTACTTACATACGTTCGCATGCCCGACTGTACGTATGCAAGCAAAATCGATTTGGCCGACTGCCGAGGCGAGATATCGTTGTTTGTTCTAGTCAGCAGTGTTCCTACAAATGTTTAAATCGCCGCATATTAGGCTTAACCCGTTTCAGGAAATGCTCAACCGCCCCTCGTGTCACTTCACACTGACATCGCGAGCTCATCTTTGTCATGGATATTGAAACGCCGAGCGTATATCCTGTTCTCGTGCCAGTTTCATGACAAAGCGAATACCGTGTGCGCGTAATCACGACGGCAATTACCAGCTAGCTTGAACATATGAATGGTATGTCGGGCAAAAATTCCACACTGGTGTATATCAGTATTTCAATGTTACAATACTGCAATATACGTTTGTAGATACAACGTGTCATACGTGGCACATGACCTACCGGTGAGACATTCTATCGTAATTCGTGAAAAGATAACCATTCTATCATAATTTATCAAATGTCAGTACTGACGATATATGACCCACACTGGTCATTGTATGATAATTTGTAGGACAAAATAGACAACAGGTCCATAACCTTGAGACTGTTCATACTGTCTCTGACAAAAGATTAAATATGTGACATAACCCACCGAAGAGTGGGAATTATCACAAAAGGGCCAATTATTAACATTCTATTGAAATTAAACCATTCTGTCGTAAATTCCGTACGACAGACAAATGTCGACTGTACGATGCATTGTGAAAAATTCATTGACGTCCAAGTACACTTAGGAGCAAACTCGGCTTCCACTAGGAGAAAAAGTGACGTAGGAGAAGGACCTCCTACCACTTGGTTAATTTATTTCAAGTACTGAAATAAATGTTAAATCGAATGTGAATTTGGCATGAATTCCAGTAATTCCCAATACCAAGTGATAGGAGGCCCTTTCCTTACGTTACTTTGTTCCCTAGTAAAACAAAGAAAGATCGTTGTTAGAGTTCTGTTTACTAAATCTACCCCCGAACATCGAAAGTAAAGGAAATTATTGAAGCGGTTTGAAAACATTTGATAGCCGTAGCGAAACACAATCAAAGCTGACAAGTGGAAAATTGGAACAACGGGGCTGATAAAATGAAAATGGGCGCGAAAACTTACCAGTGGCGCAGGCGCTTCCAGCGATCCAGATGAAATACACAGCGGCAAACAGAATCCGCGTCCTCGTGCTCGGGAAGGTCGACAGGTCCGCCAGCGCATTTCTCCACGGCATCTCCATGTTAGTTGGTAAATTCTTGCCTAAACCGTTCCCTGCCACTTGCACTTCCTTAGGCACTTCACACTACCAGAGAAATGGTCGTAGAATCACAGGGTTCAGTCACGCGAACGAGCACCAACAATTCCTGGACGCTCTCCGCATTTTTGAGTTCACGTGGCGAGTTCCAGCCTCGGTTGCGTTTTCATTCGAGAGGCGTAACGGAAGAGCATTACGACGTACACCTGTGAGACAACATTCCTCTTACTTGCACTCGTAGTCCCTCCTCCTTTCAAGAAACCGACGATCGTGTAGCATCCGTGCCGTTTTCCATCCGATACCCGTGTTGGCCCGTCTTTCTCTTACTTTCAGATCGACGCATCAAGTCTGAAGCTTCATTTGTTAAATTACATTTTACGCGACGATGTTCGATGGTTTTTTTATGGTTTTTCGTGGTAGTATTCCGGATTCGTTCCCATGATTACGCATGTACGCGTGTGAAACACGTTGAGATACATTAAGGCGTAAATAACACTCTTTAGTAGGGACCGTTGTACGTGGAAAGGCAGATCAAATGTTAAATGTAGTCATAAGGAAAACGGGATGATAATGAGAAGTTACAGATATTTATGGGAACACTACGCGTAATGCAACAGTTGCCGAACAGCTAAATCGTGTACGATTTGAAATCTTGAAATTTAACTGTCAACACACTTGAATTCACGATTATTGAAGTCGCTCGTTCTCCGACAGATACGTTGAATATGAACGTGCTAAGCTTTCCGATTTTAATACCTGCTTCCGCACAGTTGTACCTTCAAGAGGGTCCCCAGGTAACGCAGCACGAAACGGTCACATTCACCTGGTAACACCTGGCAACACCGTTGAATTTCTTAGAAATCGCTCGCACGTTCTCACGTCAAAATAATCAAACACACCCGAAAACCATTTACTTGTGAAATTCTAACGGAAAACGAAAACTTTCATGCCGCGACGCACGACCCGGACCGTCCGTGAGTTTCGTTCGAATTACAAAGTTTTGTTGACTGACCGTCATCGGCTCCGTTCACTGGAGGCATAAAGTTGAAATCGCAACCACGCGCATGTCTGAATGGCTCGTTGACATTCGACCAATCGGTTGGACGATACGGCAACCAATCAGAAACGTCCTGCAATTTGATACACGGTGGTTGGTATTCATTGCAGTATCTTTGTTCAAAATTTTCATTTTAACAATAATTTGTTTATATTTGATAATAGCTAATGTTTTCATAATATATTCACATATTTCTATTGAAAAATCATGATGTGAGTTTGTTTAACGACATTATAACTTATATAGTTATATTTTAATGAAACATTACAATGTAGCTCATCACTTATCACACTACAATTTGTTTATGCAACTTTTACGTGATTTAATGCATCAATCATAATAAAATAATATGTTTTATACTTTTAGTAATCTTATACATTCTTACACACAAAATACCAATTCTTACAACCTGAATTTATCTAATTGAAATTATATATTATTGTATTTTATTAATCCGCAGTTACTATATTTTAAAAGGTATGTATTTTCCTCATCAATTCAATCAAAAAAAAATAAAAATAATAAGTTTGTAAAAATATTTCAAAATCATTCTAGTTTTATCAAATTATTCCCTGGTACTTAGCAATCTATATGTATATGAAGTTCATCTTTAACAAAAGGGATATGGGATCAGGTTTTTAATTTATCAGTAACAAATGAAGACATTTTTTCATCTTATGAAATTTTTATTCACTTAAATAAGAATTAAAAGAAAAATCCAAGTATTTTTCCTCCAAGATGTTTCCTTCTAGCTTCTTCATGATCCATAATTCCTCCACTGGTGGTCAAGACAACATATCTGCAATACATAAGTTACATTATGTAAAATATTAATTATTCTTAATTAAACTATACAAGGTTTTAACTACCTACCCAAACTGACGAGATGGCAAAAGGTTGTTCGTCCATTTTTCGATATCATTAATTGGAACATCGAATCTAGGTGAAATAACACCACATTTGTTTAACCTTCCACTGAGATTTACTACAACTTTTCCACTGCGGTGATCATCAACAATTTCGAATTCTCCAATGTATCCTAAATATAATCGAAATAACGAAATAAAATTGTAAAATGGTTAAAAAAATTACTTTAGAAGATTAACTTAATTAAAATAACACTCTATTTAACCCTTGGATCATATCCCAAGGTCTCTTGTAGCCTCATAGAAAACAAGGTTTGTTGAAATTATAGAAGTACAAGTGCCACCAAATATCTGGAGATAAACATATATTCTATATGTTCTTACTTCATTTAAACATATCATAGACATTAACAAACAGTGACAATATTTCTAAAACTTTATTGTCAAGAGATACATTTTTCTTAAAAAAATATTGGGATATAACAGATCCTAGGGTGTTAAATAAATCACAGAAAATATATCTCTGTCCAAACTCAAAGTAACCATGAATGTAAACTTTGATAAATTAAAAATAAAGAATTTATAAAAATGTTCATCTATTTTCTTACCTTTTCTCATCATAACAGTCAAAAATTTGATAATCACTTTGGAGCAGGGCCTTAAGAGCACCTGTCTCTTTCCACGCTTTTCAGCGTTGTTAATGGATTTGAGAGCATCGCTAAGAACGTTCATACGCACCATGGCTGAAACAGTAAAAAAAAAAAGTGTATGAGATTTCTTGGACTTACAAAAATGTTTGTAATTGTTATGTGTTTCTGGTATATTTAATGACGTTAAAACATAACCTGGAATGAACATAAACCTGATTTAAAAAATGTGATTTCGTCTCCTTAAATAAATGCTGAAATTTTTATGATTGTAATATAAAATAATAATTCATTAGCTTTACATAATATATGCCAAATTCAATAAACAAAACCAGGATAATAAGAAATAACTGGCACTGAACCTAACCCACTGGTCACTATCGGTTTGAAACATTCTTGAGCACTATACTTAAGAAAAAATAGTATCACTGAACAATTGATTGTTAGAAATAGTAACTAATTTATAATTAATTTACGCTGGATGGACTTTAAAGAAGGAGATTACCTGCGATTTATAATTTGTTTATCACAGCAACGTACACGCTCGATTAGACGAACGAAAAAGAGAAGTTGGCAGTCAGTGTTACCATACTAACTATTTCAGTTGCTTGAAGTTTATTGGTTGAACTTCTTAGGTTTTCATATCCAAAGAATTGATCATATTATTTCTTACTAATTCTATATGTGATAATAAATTACCGTTAATAATAATGGCTATTTGTTCTATAAATATGTAATCTATTGCGTATAAAAATTTACTAATAAGAGTTCTTCATTGAGTACTGTATGTGTAAGTTTGTTCAATAACGGGACAGTTTGTCCAAGAAATTACATGCGAATACTTTATAAAGAAGCGAATTCATAACAAATTCAAAGTCGCAATTTTAATATTATTTATATCCCGACAACATTGACTTCACTTTCTGTAGAGAATGTTATATAGTTTTTTATAGAATGTTGTGGGTGTGTAGAGTTTGTTCTATAATGAGCCAATTAGTCCAGGTAGTCATGTATGATTGGGTTACACATAAAGCGAATAAATACAATGCTCAAAGTCACATTTTTAATATTAATTATATTAAAACAATTTTGTTTATTTTTTCCTTATATTATTTGTAATTATTACACCAGAAAAGAGATATAATCGATTTGTTGGAGACGCACACAGGAAATAAGAGCTCGTTTGGTGGCTCTGTCATTGTTCCGTCGATAAGATAGTCAAATTCTTGATCGGAGAGAAGAAGACGTACCGTAGAGGAATATAAGCTGTGGTCAATTGGTCGAACGATTTGGTGGTCAATTGGTTTTGCCGTCCCGTAAATGCGGATGTGTGTCGTATTAACAACGATTATTGTGCAAGTACTGAGTACTTGTCGAAACACGAAATCCGAAGGTCGATATTAATCGGTAGCTGAGATGAGTGGTGCAAGTTAACGGTCCCTCGGTGCTTTCGTCATGCTGTCAAAATTGATGAGGAAGACAGAGTTGACGGGAGATGCTCACTGATATGGAGATTGTCGAGAATCCCTTGATTCGCGCGCCGCCTCTACTTGAAAGGTTTCCCGGAAGTTTCCGCGCGAGAAACACGCAAAAAGCTGCGAGACGTCGGGCAACGATCGGTTGGCTTGTCGGCTTACCGAGATTTTAACGTCGGTATCATCTGATTCCCGACTCGAGCTGCTCGTTTCTTTTCTATACACTCGTCATCCACGAAGGATACCACAAAGACGTATTGAAACCAGTGGTATCCTCGCTGCGCGAGGTCAATATTTTCACGATGGCCTCGACATCCAGCACCTCGGCCCAAGTATTAATGAACAAGGGCAAACGTGGTGCAGCTGGATATATTTATGACGAATGTGTAAATCCAACCCTAAACGCTGGTGGTCCACAGAACCTTAACAATTTATTGGATATACTCTTGAATCCCAGTAAGGCTATTGATGACTGGGAAACCATCGACTGGTGTAAGTGGTTGATGGCTGGTGGTCGTACACCAGATGAATTTGCTAACACAGGTACTGTATGAATTTATTCTTCACCACCACATAGTTGAATAATTTTAGATTTCTCATGACAGATTGATTCATAAATACAAATGCTTTAAACGCTGTTATAGACATCACCTGTTCGAGAACATTAATGCAATTGTATGCAACGATTGTTTTTACAGTTACCTGGTACAATGTATTAGTTGTGCTATGTGTAATTGTTAAGAATATTATTTTGAATCACTTGAATAGTGTGTTATATTATTAAATATAAATTGTATGAAAATGAAGATACGTGTAAATAACATTGAATAGACATGCTTGTAATGTTTAAAGGCCAAACATTTATGAAATTTAGCTTTATTATTAATGTAAATAATTAGTATCATTGATTAAGTTAATATAATATGTTAATAATTAATGAAAATATCTTGATTATTAATTAATAGTATATAATCTAAATATCAAGCAATTCACATATTTGGCATCGGAAAGATTATCCAATAATTTCATGCAAATGGTCATAAGTACAGCTACAGATGCAAACACATAGATGTACTAACTAACTGAATCAATACAGCCAATAAAATTTATGAAATTCCAAGAAGGCTTTACATTAAAACAACACATTTCTATGAAATGTAATATAGCATTATAGATAGTTAACACATTCAAGACTGAGAACTCAGTGAGTGTGTCATGCAGTCTCAGATCCGCTTAAGTAATGACTCAGCATGTGGGTTGCACATAGATTGTATGTAAATATTTCTGGTTTTTGGGGATAATTATGCAATAATACGTCGGTCCCGAATGTGTTAACGATGAGAGATTTTAATATTACAATTAAACAAATTTACGATTATTTCAAAATAAAATGTATATAAACATTTCAGTAAGAACGTATGATAATGCTACAACATGTGGACTCGTTTGGACACCAAATTTTGTAGCGTATCGTTGTCGTACTTGTGGTATATCACCTTGTATGTCTTTGTGCACGGAATGCTTCAAAAAAGGGAATCATTATCGCCACGACTTCAATATGTTTCTTAGTCAAGCTGGAGGAGCATGCGATTGTGGTGATCCGTCTGTTATGAAAGAAGAAGGGTAAGGATTTTAGTCAATTATTAGGAACAATTACTATATTAGTGAAATTCATACATATTATTTGTTCTTATAGATTCTGTGATAGACATGGCCCTAAAGCTTCTGTTAATACGTCAGCTGCTCCTTCAGATCTATTATGCGTGGCGAATGCAATGATGCCTAGAATTATTCTTCGTCTTATTCAATATTTACGTGAAAAGTCGTACGTTAAATAAGTCTTTATTATTAAAATTACACATGATTTATGAAATCTAATATATATATGTTCATAATGATCATGGCTTTTATTTACTACAGTACGAACTCACCGGATATTAAGGTTGCTATCCAAGACGCGGATGGATATTTAACTATGCTCCTTGATTTTAATAAGATGGGTGCATTGATGAGGCAAGTTATAACATCGGCGTTAACAAATCCACAGAAATATAAAGGTTTCATGAATCCTTCTGTGTCTACTGCACAACCAGAATATGACATCTATTGTCAAGATAACATTAAAATATATCAAGATACTGTGAAGTTGTTACCAAACCCAGAACCACCCGATGAGTACAAAGGTAAAATTATACATATTTCCATTAATACACGTACGATTATAATAAAATACCCACTTTATTTGTTATTTTAGAATGTGTATCATTGCAAGAACACTTAGAACATAATACATTCTTAGAAGAATTAATGTTCTGGACAGTTGTTTATGAATTCCCGCAGAAATTAGTTTGTCTTCTGTTGAACATGTTACCGGATCCCGATTACAAAGAAGCACTAACTTGTGCATTTGTACTACATTATAGTAGAATTTCAATGATGCTTGAACGTTCAATAGATCCTGATACTTTGAGCAATAGAATAGTTCATGTTAGCGTACAGGTATGTTGCTGTACCGACGAAAATTGTTCATTTCTAATGAAAACATGATTGTTATTTATATGCTTACGTTTCTTGTTTTAGCTGTTCAGTAACGAAAGTTTAGCATTGAGAATGGTGTATCAATTGAAGTTATTGCATGTTATGGTTATCAGCTTAAAATATATGATGAGCAAGATTCTAATACAGAATACTTTACACGGTATGTATTGTTTTTATCGTGACGAAATATTGAAGCTTCTTACAATGAAAACATATAATTTATTTATCGAATATGTTTCTGCCCAGACCCGGATAAAAATTTTCACTACGTAGTAGACTGTGGACGTCAAGTAATGAAGGAACATTGTTACTGGCCGTTAGTGTCAGATTTAAATAATGTTCTTTCACACAAGCCTGTTGCTTTTCGATTTATGAGAGACGATACACTTTTGGAAATGTGGTTCGACTTCCTATCTATGTTTCAAGGTATAATGTTTCTAGCTTGAACTGTACTTCTGTATAAAAAAAGATGAATATTTCTAAAATTATTCATTACATTTGTTACAGGAATGAACGTGAATCAACGAGAATTAAATCAACACGTCGAGTTCGAACCTAATACATATTATGCAGCGTTTAGCGCTGAATTAGAAGCTAGCGCCTATCCAATGTGGGCGTTAGTTTCACACTTACGTGGCCCTGAGAGCGCACCCCTTAGTCGAAGGGTGCTTAGCTATTGTCTGACGGCTTTACAAGACTGGTTAGATTCTGTCAATTACACAGATCCAAATGAGGTCAGTGTTTATAAACTATTCTGTATTAGAACAAAATAGCTTGTAATACAGTTACTACTAATCTGCGGATATTTATGCTTTTATTGTATTATGTATGTATGTATGAATTTCAGGCAAGACGTGTCCTTTTCGGAAAATTGTTTCAATGTTGCGCTAGTATTGCATCTAGCTTCATTAGAGGTCAAACACACTGATACAATTAGTTGTGATACATCATATACGTATATTGGAATAATTGTTCCAAAAGGACACACCTTATACTCCAAAGCCTTAAAAATAATAACTGAAAGCCTCAATTCTCAACTTGTGACGTCGTAAATGAAACAGCCCCAGTACACAGATTTTTGTACGGGCATTAAAATTATTTCATTTACGCCGTACCAGTATTTTAATTATTTCTCTTGCTATTGTTACAGAATGATAGCTTACAAGTGTCATTTCATCTTCCGCTTCATCGATATTTTGCCGTATTTATGTGTCAAGCGGTGCGCCAACAAGGAGCTACACTTAATGATTTACTACCTCCTACGGATATGCTGCACCTTCTAATGATGCATCCCTTGCGAGTTCAGGTAAGTATTTCTATTTTTTCTAATTTCCTCGAACACATACTTTTCCAATACTTATATACAACTGCATTCAGACATAAAGGGAGAGAAAAATTTGTGAAAAAGTGAAAATGATATATGTTCTTAAAAAGTGGACTTCCAGTAATATCTAATTATTTTATTTATTTATCGTATATTTTTAAATCACAGAATCTTGAGGTGCCTATTTAGACACTTCAGTGATTGGTCGTTTCACAGACTCTAACAGAAAATAATTATATTTCTTATCAATAAAACATTACTAGTGGTTTTATGACATAAAATTAAATTGACACGATCTCTATAAAGAAACATTCGAATAAAAAAAAACTGAATAACAAATTAAATCATATTTGAAGCATCATATACATGGTAAAATGGCACAATGATGGTAGAAAGAGTTGATAAGGAACAGTAAACAGATACATAGTTATAAATGTTGCAAATTTCATGAACGTGTACTGAAACGAATTACAAACTACGCTGTCTGTCACAAATCAACGAATAGCACGCGGAAGTAGAAAGACCATACAAAAATATCAACAAACTAAGTCATTAACATGACATACGCATTAGTGAATTCATTCGCTTTTCATTTCTCTTAATACGGGTGGTGATTTAATAACTGGTGGGGGGGGTGGTAAATCGACCTGCAAATGCGGAGTAAAATCATATGTGATTAGTTTCATCGCCACGTAACCTCCAGATCCTGATCTGCCTTTATGAAAAATTCCAGCTCCTGACACTGGAATCGGTGGATTAGATTCAATCGGTTGAATATCAATAAACGGTATTGTACTTTGTGCAGCATCCATTATTCGATCGCTAGCGGCGAAATTCACATATTGATGACGTTTTGAATCTGGTAACGATGGCAGTTTAAATCGCGTCGGTATATCGGGATTTTTTAATTCCAATTCAGTTCTACGGGCACAAAATAATTAGCATAATTCGAATGAACGTCATGACATGTTTGAAACAACAACAATGGAAACGAACCTGTCGGTGACGTCGTTACTTAGCCAAAAACTGTTTATAAACGGTTGCGTTAATTGTCCCGTCGTGAAGTTGAACGGTGTTACCATTATTTCCAAATTCAAGCGTGATCCAATAGTTCGAAACCTGACGCCTGGAAACATTAATACCGTGAATGCCATTTGCATGTCGAAAATACAAAGCACCAATTTTATGGAATATGTACCTGTTAAAAGGTGCTCTTGATCGGGTACTAAATCATCTAGGTCTACACCTCTTTTTTCCCATGCCAGAGTATGGTAATCGACGCCGCTCTTAACATTACTATCTAATCTGGAAAAGGCTTCGATAGGCTTCCATGCCACGGTTGTTCTATTGATATTACCACGGGGCAACAATTCACCCTCTTGTATTTGGAGATGCATTATATTGTTCGCTTTCTTCAATGCAATTCCTGTTATAACCCTGGAAAATATAATATATTGTTATGCATGGAATCAGTAATTCTTAGTAATTTGTTCGTCACGGAATATTCACTTGTTGTTCCCTATGTCAGACGTGACGCTTCGCAAACTGAAATACCGATCGGATTTTGCGGTACTATCATCACAGTAGCAGAAGCAATAACTGCAATGCCAGAACAACCAACGCCACCAACTATCGACTTTTGTTACATCCCTGTTGCAGGAACCCTTCTGTCCAAATACTTTACCATTTTCGTATTCTATGTATTCGTACCTTCGGTTACTATTTTTAGCCTAAAAGATTAGAAACCCATCACACACCGAATTTTGTTTGTGTAATTAATCTATACAAAGGACGAAGTTCAATTTACCGAAGGACAGACCCACATGTCCGCGTCGACGTATTCGCAGTTTAATATTTTACCGGAACAATGCCGTTGCCGAGAACAAAACTGATTTTTATAACATCCAAAAACTTTCGAATAACCGTAATAGGCACAATTTTCTCTGCAACTTGATTGCGGATTCAAGTCTACTTCGTTTACAATAATGCCTTGAAATAGGTCTGTCAATTCTGTATATGTTTCATCTGCAAGGAGTGTTTCGTTTAATTACATTTATCGCATGAACATTGAATTGAAACACATACTTAATTTTGGATTTTCTGAGTCACACATCCAAAGATCCCTAGGTGCAAATGCCATGGCAGTTTTCACAGCTCTTACTGTTTCAGATGTTCTTATTGAATATTGCTGCTTCACTAGTTCCATTTCTTCGGTGAAGTTAGAACCTGTATTAATTTAAGCGCTTAGTGTATGCTAAATTTGAAGAATAGAGTCAGACAATAGGATTATCTTTTGGATTGATTGGCACAATATAAACAAAAAAGGGTGACAGTGCAGTATATGAGTGCAATAGCTGCAAGTTTATACCTTGATTGTATAACCTTAGTAACATATAGGAGAATTGAATCATGCTGTAGCCCTTGATTTCTGCGAGAGTAACTGTAGTGTAGAGGTTGTAGAGCAATTGTTGAAGAGACTGATGTTCGCTGCAAATTTGTGTAGACTCTTCCTGTGCAAATTATAAATCTATTTTAATACTAATTATACTTAGATAAAGTTATTAATATTTAACTGATTAACGCAAACAATCAGCTGTATTAAATATCGAAGCAATCTTAGTCGTTGTAATATTGTACCTGATAAGCCAAAATGAACAATTTATCATGCACTATAAATTCAGATATTCGAGCGAGCCTGTCTATTATAGACACGTTCGGATCGTGCAAAATAGCTTCGGAGATGTTTGCCAGTTTCTCTAAATCAAGATCCATATTTTGATCGATAATTGCGTGTTGCATTGATCTGAAAATGTTGTACAGCTCGTCGATTGCATTCATCTGTCTTTCGGCCCGAGTCCACAACCAAAGAGAATGCAGTGAATCTAAGTATTTGTAACCAGGGTCTGGAAAGTTTCGTTCTAACTCGTCGCCGAAGCTCTTGAACGTTCTTATGAGATATTTCTCCACCTCGAGTCCATCAAGGCTCATTCGTTGATACAGAGTCTCTTCAAATATATTATCATGTTCATGCAGCATGTTTCTCATTTCATCAATTAACGTTGCATCGTTTTTTATGACACCTCTTACACCCCATATTACGGAGAGTAAGAGCAAGGATACAACAGCTTCTGTCCTCATTTTCTATTTATTTCTTAATATCGCTTTGGTACTTTCTGGTTATATAAATACTTGAAACCGTTACTTTTGATCCATTGTAATTTGAGATACCTACGCGTGGATGTGCAGCATTTAAAGACTTTTCATAGCAGCCATTCCTTCTCTCAGGTTCCAATTCGTTATTACACAACGACTAATAATCCTTCGGAGTACGAACGTTTTTAGTTCGTAGAGACAGTGGTGTCTGGGTCCGTTTGAAACCCCATACTTCCTTCTTTTCAAACATACTTTCAAACGAGATTAAAAAAAAACACCTGCTTTTTTATACGACTAAATATGAATAACTACCAGCTTAAATTATATTTACAAATCGATGAGTTAGATATGGCTTTTAAACACTCAGTCCCAAACGGACCCGGCCACTGTACTCCAACGGTTAAAAACGGTTCAGGACAATTGCAATTTAAATACATTTTAGTTACAATTGTGTACACGGAAAAGTTTTAGAGTTCTCGAAATAATCTTTTTACGTTACGGAGCCACTGTCCTCCTTGCTTGTAAACAATGTATTGTCCTTCAAACTTCCGGGAATAAAACATTACTCGGCTAGCTGTGCAGAGCGTCCCCCGCCGTTTGTGCTATACGTGACGTGTATACATATAGCATGTGTGATCATGTATGGATGGCTGGCACACATGCAAACTGTGCTTGATGTAAGGGTCGAATGTGATGATTACGTTAAAAACTAGATACGTCAGTACACGAATTAAAATGATATCGTGTGTTTCGGTCGCGGAAAGATTACGAGAGTGTCATGCAGTTTCGTGGGAATATCTTTAGTATATACTGTGGATTGGCATCCTTCGTTGATGCATTTTCAGCAAATTATATCTAATTAATTTTAATGTGAGTCATGCCCGGATATTATTATTATGCACGTCCTGTCGTTTCATTCGATACGAATTAATATTTTATGAAATTTTCCCACGAAATTTCGGAATCGTATAGATTTACCGATTTCAAACTTCCGCGTGAAAATATCTAGAAAGCAACTCTACGTTCTCGAGAAAGTCGTGCACCTTGAACTTTGTTCGTTTTCTCTAAAGAATTATTGGGGAAAACCAAATCAATTCGATCGTGTTAGAAACAGACCCCCCTAAGGTTTCTTTGTATACCCTCCAATCATATTACAACGGAATCGAATTATGTACGTGGCCGTATTAAAAGGAAGTCTATGAACAATTATTCAATCGATGGTCGAACAGTTTGTTTCCCAATAGAGGCGTCCTTGTGGAACGAACTCGCCGTAAATCTCGATAAGGAATGTTCTTTGTTTTGACAACGATCACTTTACCCGAAACGTATCTTCTCGATCAAGGTTGAATGCTACGTCAATTGAAACGTAAATTTAAAAACGGTCGTTGGTAAATAGAAATTTACCATCAAAGTATAATCAAATTAAACATCTTGCTATTGTAACAATATTTCATCGAGAACAGAGAAACAATAAGTTAAATAATAAGTTAAATACAAATATCAAATTTCCATGTGTTAACAATTTTAAACGAGTGTTTGATTTGAATTCACATACATGTATATACCCGTAGGCGTCTAAAGAACACACAACAGACATAACGGTTCAGTTGAATGTTAATGGACAGACACACGATGTTTTTTGTGCGAAATTAAAGGAAATATGTTTCACTAAACCGATATCGTGTTTCGAGTCCACACTCTGCACAAACGTTTACAAAAAACTGCTCACACGATGCATATATAGGTCACGAAAGGTCAGTGCTATCGTTCGAACAATTTCGAATGTAATAAACGAAAATTGGAACTCGAGAGACTGTCGCAGTAAATATTCTTACACTGGTTACAGTTCGACGGTTCTTTGGTTGCAAACCGTATTCTTCGAACGTCTGACTGTCACGATACGGTCTGTTGCACGGGCATCCGTTCGACAACTGTTTCTCGGAATATTGTAATCAAACGTGGTTTTGACACAGGACGAGAAAGCGGTAAAGCGTACACCTTCCTCACTCGCTCGAACTCGACTGAGGATTTCGCATCAGTGCAGTAAACGTCATTTTGCTCTGTGCATATCCCCTCTTGTCATGGTACCGTTTAGGCTTTAATGATGTTATGATGTATCTCTTGCGCATGCTCCTTTTCATTGTTACTCTTCTCGTTGTTAAAGCGATTTACACAAAGTACATTGTAGCACTGAGAAAAAGCATTATACACGCCAACCCCGTTCTTTACCATAAAATTAAAATATCTAACAAATTAACATTTTATTCTTCTAGAAAAGTATTTAACGAAAATTACTTCGCAATATATTTGATACTATATAAATACCATTACACGTACATCACAATTACTTTTTATGAAAGTCTGAGTCAAACATTCTAGCTCAAGGTAGCCTTTTCTTTTTTCATTTGTTTCCTTTCCTCCGCCATGTTTGTCATGTATAGTGCCTAGCCTCGACAGAGATGATCTAAACGAGACGTCTGAACGAACCCAACGGAAAACACGCTCTATATAGACACTTCAGTGTCAGTTGAATTTATTTATGCTTTTTGTTTTCCCATCTCGTGGTGGCATTGTCTTATTCAAGCTACCATGAATAATACCGGAAACCTTATCGTAATTTATTTGTTCGGCTTTCAACGGTGTATCTACGTTTTAATCAAGCTTGCACATTCAACAGACGCAAACTGTCGGATGTCACTTGATCATGTGCGATATGCCTCTGCACCTAATACCTCTCTGGACTTAATGATTATGATAGGGGTCTCGTTACCAACATACCAACAGACACTCGTTACTCGGAAATCTCAATGATTACAAATCCACCACGGCGTACAGTAGCAAAGAAACAAACTTATTTAATTAACTACTATCGTTATTAATCAATTCAAACCTCGTATTGGTGTGAAACGTTTTCAGAATTTTATTAATACTTACATTCATCCGCTTTGCCAATAACACAAGAATACTTCTGCTGAAGGTTTGATCGCCGGTTGGAACAAGCAATCGATGAATACTTTTTAAAAGATCAGGAACAGCACCCGATCTAGAGGAGATACATGTCATGGCGAAATCTTGCAACGTGAGTGTAGAGTATTTCCTAGGTGAATCGCTATACGTTATAAAATTATGATATAAATCGTCGATTTGGCCAACGTATTCATCCACTGCAAGCAATTTCTGATTCAGACTTTCTTGAAGCGGCAAATCGATTAAAAGTTTAGCGACAATCGTGTCGAACCGTATTTCCATCTTCTGTTGATAATTGTCGATCTTGTTCGATAATATTGATATACGATTTCTCAATTCTTTCTCCATTCTGTAAACGAATGGATAGCTGTTTTCTTCATTGCCAGAATTTGTGGGGCGCAATAATTCCCACGATTCAAGAATCTCCACCAGCGTTTCACGACCGAATCTTAATATATCCTTTAGATCCATTATGTCCGTAAAGTCGAAACCGTTTGCAAACTGGCCTAGGCTGATTATTAAGAAGAAATATGTGATCTTCACTTTCGATGTAGTCATTTTCACCGGTTTAATTGAAACTTGCGAACGAAAGTAAATTCAGATAGAAAGTAGTCCATGAACCTCTCGCACATGTATCACTGATCCAATGGTGTTCCCTCCTCGGTCTCTTTTCTTAGATAGCTGTTAAGATATCTTTGTCAATGCCCCGAAATTCTACGGAGCTAAAAACGAGTCATAAAGAAGACAACCATTGTAACGAAATATTCGTAGAATACACTGCGCGTGGTAAAGTCTTGTTCAGCTCTCCCGAAACTGAGGATTTTCCCTCGTCCATCAACGATGGAATCGTTACACACTGACAACGCAGCGTTTTGTATTGCCTTCCAGTGACGGGATTGGTCGTTACGGTGGGGGCTTTACCGTATATCTACGAATGAACCATAGCGTGAAAAAGAATGCCCGCATATCTCAAATGTTCCGTGATTCATATATTTCCTTTCATAAGGGAATCTTTTGTTTTTAATAAAAATGACATTAAATACTTTAATCCTTATGCTATTGTATTGTAAAATATGATTAATATTTCTAATTCTCTGTTTCACACCTTTTTTCCTCCTTACCAGTCCCCGAATATTTTATTTTTAGTCACATTTTTTTTCATTTCATCGGATCATAATTAGTAGAGAATCAATAAAATAACAAATAAAACAGAAGCGAAAGTAACGTTAAGCACGATATTCGTGACTCAGTTTTCGAAAGTACCGTTAGGTACTTACGAATCATGCATACTATATGAGGTGATGTCTTTACAGATACAAAATGAAACGACATAATTTAATAACACTTACAAAAATTTGTTTGTTTGAAATTCAACTGACACAAGGAATTTTTGTTTAGGTTGCTTTCTATGAAATCTTGAATGGACTGTGGGTTCGTAATGGGCTTCAAATAAAAGGACAAGCTATGACTTATATACAGTGCAATTTTTGCAATTCAATGGTGGACGCAGATCTTTATCTTCTGCAAGTGTGCGCGACCAAACTGCAACCAGATGTCTTTCTAAAAACAGTCATTGAAAAGTAAATACTCGTTTGTACATTTACTTCAATGTCTTATCACTTTTATATATAAAGTAAACAAACGTATTTCTTTTATTCGTTTAGGTTTCATGTGAAGGAATGGATGAGTCTTCGTTTATACCATACACATCAGAATGAATATCTGGAAGGAGAGCATGACACTTCTATGCTAGAGAGCTGCTTAACATTTTTAGCCACTCTGGTGAATGTTCGAACAAATCTAGGTAAATTTTGAACACCATTGACATTAATACTTAATAATATAAAGCTACAGAATATTCAATATACACAATTTATGTTTAGGTTTATCTGATCCTGAAATGTCATGTTTGGAAATGGTTACTTTATTGTGTATGGGAGATAAAACTCACAGCCAATTAATGGAATTAATGCCAGAACGCTGTGGCACTACCCAGAACAGAGACTTTGAATCTGTCTTGGCTGATGTATGTTTCAGTTGCATTATTTATATGAAATACATGTTTTTAGACTTTATTTCAACAATTGTATAATATGGTTTATAGATAGCTCAATACAGAGCTCCCAATCTAGAAGCCAGTGGAAACATGCAACAAGGAATGTATGGCCCAAAACCACGTGTATGGGATGAACTGTTCGATCCTCTACATGTTTTGTTAAGAGCAGTTCACAGGAAAGATTTTCAGATATCGATGGATCGGTTCACCGAATAGTGAGTTTTGTGTATTGTCTGAATATATAACTTTATACAACATAAAAAGTTCTTTTTTTTTTTAATTTAATTTAATATGTGACAATTCATTTCCTTGCTAATGTTTGTTACATTTGTATGTGTGTTTAGTGTAAAGCAGTCAGGAAAGCTGAAAAATACTACTACACCGTGGCCACCATTTCGACATCCTGCTCCCGTTTCACCGGATTACGATGATCCACGGATTGTGTTACGCACCAGAGTTTTCCACGCTATGATTCTAATAATACTTTATAAGGCAGTACATGGTTATAACATATCAGAACATGTAATGGCACTGACTATTTATCTATTAGAAATGGCTGTAATTACTGCAGACATACCGGACAAATCTGTAAGTAGCCAATTAGTTACGTTTCTGTTGATGAACTTTAACTTGTAACCATTTATCCAATAATCCAATAATATCCATTGTAATAATCAAGATATTCTAGATACTGTACATCTACTCTGTATGTTCCATTAATTAAACACAATTTTATTGATTTAATAATCTACTTTCGTTCTGATTAGGCAAATCATTTGTGCCAGTATGATAGTGGAACATCCCGTGTGATAAAGGATATGCATTTGGCTAGTTTCTATAAGAGTGATAATTTGTCCGAAAATTTAAGGACAGTAATAAATCGAGTTATCAAAGTGCAAGAATCAGAGTCCGAAAGTTCAGACAGTAAGAAAATTATTATTAAACTTTTCCTTTCTTAATTATTCATTTCAAATTTAATCATTTCAATTTTCGTTCTTTCAGGTGATTTGGAGTGGGAGATTCAAGATGAAATGACTGAGGTTGCTACACCACTTATGTTAAATGACGCAACAGATGAAGGCTCCTTGGAAGTTCTAAGTCTACCATCCTTACCTCCATTACCAGCTTTACCAGCAATGGATGGTGAGTTGTTTTAGAGTTACTATACATATGAAATTATAGATATAATATACATGCATAATTATTTATACTCTGTGAGGTAATAAAGTTATATAATACTGGTATAAGTATATAGCAGTGTATGTAAAAATGTATACATATATATTGACATTCGTTTTAATTTGAAGATGAAGTTTTGTATAGATATAGATGCTTTGGAAACAATTCTCTCATTTGTTGAATATTTGATGTATTACTTTATACACACTAGTCTGTTTCATCACAAGCGACAAGAGTGTTGGATATACATAGATCCAGATATAGTTCAGATACATTTGATTAAAAAATGGATATTTCGGTGTAGATCGAGTCTTACTGTTATGTAATACAACATATAATTACATTAGTTTTGTTTCTTTCTTTATTATTTGTAGCCGAATTTCATATGACTATTGTACCTGAAGATGGAATTGTTGCTATATCAGATGGTAACAATGAAGACGATATGATACCTCTACAGAGAGCCTTGCCACCATCCACCGAAGAATCCATGGCCCTTGCGCTTGAATCACCTCCTTCACCAGACAGTATGTTGCTCTTAGTCTTTTCCGCTTAATCATAGTTTACATCCTTATTCTTTAATGTTGCACACGTTTGATTCTGTCTGGGCTTTTATTTCTGGTGACAGTACAACATAACTGTAAAAAATAAATCGAAAGTAACATGTACTACAACAGTGCTCGTTGTAGATGCTAGACAAAGTATGTACTAGTATCCTTCTGTTCGAAAAAGAAAGTACTGAATACTATAACAAACTTCGATTCAGAAAATATATACTAATAGTTTTGTATTTAGTGGTAGCTAGTGTGTTTGTGTAGCATGGTTAAAAAATATATACCTATTTCTTCGGTATAATGTTTATAAATTCCACATAGATATGGTGGGCGGTCAACCAGCATTACCACCAGCGCCTCAACGGCCCGCTCTTATGGCTGGCAATGAAATAGTTGCTGCTCAATCTCTTTACCCAAGATTGAGCACTTCCGGCGTGACCGTAGAAATTGTTCCATCTACATCGAACTCTCATAAGCATTTCAAGAGGAGAGACCATATGGTAATGATTCTCATTTAATCACATTTACGTTCTTTTTTTCTAGTATATTGAAATCAGTTTCCGATCTGTTGCAATGTCTTCTTTTTTTTGTAATTTAGGGAGGACATACGGAACCAAAAGCAGTAAAAGTAGACGAAAGCATAATCTCCTTGTTGTTGAAGTTGCATTCACAATTATCAGGTGCGCCGGACACTTACAATCCTGAACAGAGTGCAATGTCGGATAACGAAGCTAGTAGTAGCTCGGCAGCGGAACCAAAAGAGTCGAGAATTGGCGACGGGCCGTTCTTCATCTCCCAGCTGCTTAATAAAATCGCAAATCTCGATCCTACGTGCAAAGAGGCTATCGTTGAAACCAGGAACAAGTTATGGCCGCGAGAAACTCATGGCTGAATTTGCGAACAAACAAAAGCAGTTTATGGAGAAGGCAATGAAAACAGGTAAACTGAAAGCGAAAGATAAATAAATTGTTAAGAAAGATTTCCAAGATTACACGAACTGTGATTGAAACCCTATGCACTTTCTGGCATTCAGATGAGAAGGATGGATTCCATATGGATTGGGCTAGGGACGACAATGCAACCAAATTGACCAACAAAAAGGAATACGATTGCGTTATTTGCAATCAAACTACTCCTACGGTTGAAGATGCACCAATGGGTCTCGTTGTATTAGTTCAAGTCAGTGTTTTAATAATTATTCGATTCTTGTTATAATATTTGATTGCGATACTTAATTATCCATTGTTTTCAGGCAACAAGCGTTATTGGTCATGAGCGACAGCAATCAGAAAGACCAGTCTTACCCACTTCTGACGATGATCCGCCAATAAAAAAGAGCGACACACGTGGTGCCTACTTTAAACGTAGAATGGATGAAATGAATTACCATTTTGACACTGTAAGTATTTTTATCTCCATTTAGAATATTCAAATTGCTTAATTTTATGTTCATTCGTTGTAGGTTTCGTGGCTGTTATCTGTTAATTTGAGCTGGGAAGGTGGAGTTCATGTCCAGACGTGTGGCCACCACTTGCATCTAGATTGCTTGAAGTCATATTTACAGTCTCTTCGTAACCAACAGAGGCAGCAGAGTCTTTCTGTAGACAACGGGGAATATCTGTGTCCGCTTTGTAGGCAGTTAGCTAATTCTGTTCTTCCACTTTCTCCCCAACTGGGCGAATGTACAGCAATGGTACAGTCACATCACGCGTCTACTGCTACGATACTGTTAGAGTTAAATAATTTCTTGAAAGAGGTACAACGAAATCCTGTAAGTACATCGTTTTGTTAAATTCCAATTCCTTTTACGCAACATCGGTTCGTTGGCAAACTTTCCTATGTACGGTAATACTTGATCCTTAGATCTCGACAAATTTGGCTGGAGCAATGGGAAAAGCCATGGAGGATATGACGAATTGCACATATTTAACATACAAGCAAAAGAACTATTTTCCTAGTCACCAAAGTTTGTTCCTTTTCGTAACTTCTGTAGCCCGAACGAATTTCGAAGTTGAACTCATTCAACGCGGTGGATCGCTATGTGCTTCATCGCCGAGTACGTTACCTCAGACGCCAAAACGCGACTGCATCGGTAAGTTTGTTTGTTCCCTCGCTAGAAGTGGCGATATCTTATGCCGTATATTAAATTCTGCATAAATAATGTTACACAATTTTCAGTTGCACTTCTTCATGTTCTGGCGATGCACGCGAGAGTATTGACTGCGTGGCCTGTGCATCACACCTGGCAGCAATTATCAGGTATACCCGCGGATCCAGCAGCTCCAATGGGTTTAATACCGCACGAAAGGGAAATACCATTACTTCTCAGAGACCCGACTGCTCTGCTCATACAATTTATATTGTTGCTTCCCCTACATTTGGATCAAAGTAAGTGTGTTACCTTATACGTTCAAAGTTAGCCCACCCACGTCGTCCACAGTGGTTTCACGATGCTTAACCTATTAAAACTTATTTTCAGCATATTTCTCTGCTGTGGTAAAAGTAATGTACAACTTATTGTATTATCAAGTAATATTACAAATAAGCTGCGGTCTCACGCGAGCAGAGAGAAACACGATTTTAAGGAGAGATCAATACATCAACCATACTCCCATGTCCTCAGAGACGATACTCTATAGAATCATTGAATACTTCAACGATACTCCGCTTTACCGTTCGGACGATGCTGTGTATAAGCCATCAACCTCGTCGTCTACGCCGTACGCGAGGGTGAAGATATATAATCTCGAGCAGCAGGTGCGTATATAGGATTTGTAATTAATTCCAGAGAAGAATGTAGTAGTCACCGTTGAATGTGTAAAAAGTGTTCTTTTCTTTTCTTTTTCTTTTAAAAGACTTGTACTTATTTTACACGTTACAAAAGCTAACTCACAGAGTTGTTGTTCAGTGTTTTTCATACATATTAATGTTATTAATATTATCACACGCTGATTTGGGCTTGTTTCAGATACAATCGCTATGCTTACCATTTTTGCGGGTGGCTGCGTTGCTTCGCTACCATTTATACGAACAACCTTTACCCCTAGTTAGTACAGAAATGACTGAGTTTGTGAGATTAGTTTATTACTTGGAATTAGTTTCGGAAGGGATGGATTGGAATATATTTAATTCGACGGTAGCTTTAAACTGGCAAGACGGCGAGGCTAGTGTTTCGGTGCCACGTTCATGGTGTGGTCAGTTCCTCGCGTTCGTGAATAAAAGTGACGCAGCGCGAAATCTGATAATGGAGCAACACATATCGTGGCACGTACCCAAGTTACTCAGTCTTCCACGGGAATACGAAAAGATATTTTCGGTAAAGGAACTTATGTGTGATATAAACCATTTGACCAAACATGACATCCGTGACACTTTATTAGTAATGCTTTTTGAAATTCATTTTTAGTATTACCATGAACAACAATGTCGGCGGTGTCATTTAGTTCCACAAGAGATTAGCATCTGTTTGTTGTGCGGTACTATTGTTTGTTTGAAACAAAATTGCTGCAAACGGATGAATGTCTGTGAGGCTATTCAAGTATGTATTACGCTATTAACGAATGTATCTACGTTTATTTCTTTTTTTTTTTTAAATTTAATAACCATATTCGGATTATGTGAACGTAGTGTAATATAATTTATTTGTATGTATATATAGCATTCAATCGATTGCGGAGGTGGAACTGGAATATATCTGGTGGTCACGTCGACTTATATTATTGTGATTCGAGGTCGGCGAGCCTGTTTGTGGGGATCTTTGTATCTCGACGACTTTGAAGAAGAAGATAGAGATCTGAAGTACGTAAATTTAATCTCTATATAGTATTTATGGTTCTATGAAATTTGTGATGTTTGTTTTTAACCGTGTAATTGTAGACGCGGGAAACCACTGTACCTAAGTCAAGAAAGATACCAGTTATTGGAACAGCAATGGCTTGCGCATAGGTTCGATCACACGAAGAAAGCATGGGTATGGCATCGCGATGCACTGTGACCCTTCCATGGCGTCGAAAGCTGGTTATTTTTTTAAACACGTTGAAAAGACTTTCAACAGGTTTATTCCCACACAATGCCTCGCCAAGAAATAACAGCGCTTTAAGAATTAACAGATCGCTCTAATATTGTACGGATGTTATATTTATTATGATGCAAGTAAGTAGACATAATAATTGAATGAAAGTATTATAAAAAGACGAGGTGAGAGCTAAACTAAAAGAAGAATTATTTATAGTCACAACACCTGAAAGATTTTATCTGAAAAAAATGTATGTTTTGAATTAAACCTTGTACATTTTATTTAAGATCGTATACATACATACATATATAAATATATATAAATTACGTTCTAATTAAAAAAACAAAAGTACTTATGTAATGTGTAGCATTTGTACTTCAGAGACAGAAACGATTGAATTTCATAAAAGAAATTTCAGTTATGCTCTAAAGCAGATAAACTATGTCTCGCTGAAAATAAATAATCTCTTAATAATTAAATTAGTTTCTTTTTTTTTTTTTTTTTTTTAAAAAAAATTAAATTTTTTTTTATTACGTCTTATAATTTATTATTGTAATTATATTATTGGTTACTAAAAGTTTCTACTTGAAAACCTTAATTATATTTGGATTATTAGCTGGTTTCAAACCCTGTAAATTACGATGTAGTTGTTGGCTGGCGTGTTCCTTGTTCGTATTGCAGATAAGAACTGGCTGGTTTTGTTTCAATTGATGGTAGCTGCCATTTATACTCTGTGAATGTAGATACAACAAAGGAATGATAGTTAGACGGCTGTTTCAGAATCTTACTCAGAGTATGTATTACGATTGCAGCCCCAAGGTAATTAAAATCTGCTGCATGATGCAAGTGCACAACGAACTTAATACAGTTCATTAATTTTATCCGATTCACTAGATAATCCAGCTAATAATCCATATTATTAACTGGTTCACTCTACTTTTTGTAAACGAAGAAGTGCATTGTGCTAGATTTGTAAACATGACAAAATCAAAGACTGACGTCTTTAATATAAGAACTCTGTTTCTGAATAAGTTTAATAACGAACCGAGGTCGATACTAAATCTCTATATAATTTATTGTTGTACTTCATTGTATGTTCTACTTTAATTGATTTTAAAACGTTCTGGAGAAGCAAAACGATTAACCACAATTGCGCATAGATTTTTTAATTGCAAGGTGAAGGGAAATTTTCATGCATACATTGTATTGGCGAAAGTGTGTAGTCTAACACGAAGCAATTATGTACAGTATCTCATTTTCGCAATGAGAGTAATATGCAAATTATGTTCAAAAATATGAAATCAATTGCGTTTTAGTCTGAAAAGAACGACCAGAGAATGAAGTATAAGAACAAGTGACATGATTGTTAACGCCGCATAATTATTATTGTAAAATTTCCCACTCATGTGAAAATAGCTTTTGCTCTGATTTTTTATTCACGCGAATCCTTTGCAGCAGTTTATGAAGGAAAAAAAAAGAAGAAACTGCAACGAATCAAGGATTATTTTTCTGTATGCGTATAATGGGCTGTGTATATTAAACTATATAAATTCATTCTATCGAACGAACTATTTATCTACTTGCTGAATCTTATCGCACCGGTGCATAAAACTACTGATTAAGCAATGGAACTGTGGCAAGTAAGTTGTTATTGCTTCGGAAGAAGCAATTTATGCATTCACGCGATGAAAAAGAAAGATGGAGATACGCGCTCAAATCTTGCTCCTGCAAAAACACTTTGATACTCAACGAAACGATATTTGTACAATAGGACTTTCCCGTTGAAGATTTTTCGATTTTTGTGATACTACAATTATTGAGGCAGGAAATTGCTTCTTCTAGACGTAGGTTTCTGTAAATATGTAATAATGATAGTACGCCACATGTTAGAATTACTAGGCAACGCAAGATAATCTGTGTATAATTACAATATTTTTAGGAATGTTCGTTTATAACATTAAGAATTTACGATTATCGCGTTAAAAAAAAAAGTGCTAAAAAGTAAATAATAATAGCAATTATCGATTCTGTTCAATGTATAAATAAAAGCAATACTACTAAATAAAAACCTTTCCTTTCGATCTGTAAACTTCAATCTCTCTATCACACTATTTCTTATGCTGTGTATGGAATAAGTAGAAAAGGATGAAGAATGATTTTTATTTTTTAGACAGTTATTACAGATATTCTATAGTATTGCCAGATGAAAACATGATCATGAGACCGGTGAAATTTAATGATTATTACAATGATGTTTAATATAAAGTTATCATCTTTTCTCATGGAACTGAAAACCTATTTATGTGAAAGCACTCTTATCATTCAACATGTTTTACATTCTGTAAAAGGGAACACTATTAATGTTATTGTTATACCTTACCTATATTTTCTAACTATAAACATGCTTATTAATTACAGTAGTTCAAAAAAGTTTTTATACATCATACTTATTATTTATCAAAAGAGAAATATTCTAATGTTTTTAATATGCTTTTATGTGTAATGTATGTGAAACGTTCGTGTAATATTCTTATATATGTATGTAAGTAGTAGTCTATATACTATTTCCATGATTATCCTGCTAAATTTTATTATTAAAATCATTAATTATTAAAAAAAAAATGTTCCAGTATGATATATAAAAGCTTTTTGAAATTACAGTAAAGTGTTTTTCTTAATTGAAGAAAAAGTTTTGTTGCTGTTTGAAAAAACCAAACTGTTTAACAGTTTTAAAAAAAATGCCGGTCAACTTGGACACGTTAGTAATGGAAACAAAAACTCTATTACTTATCTGTACAAGAATAAATTTTATTACTGTCTAGAAATTTTGTTCTGTTAAATCATTGAGTATGCATTTTTGTAATGTGGATGCCTGTCATTTTGAAAAAATTATAATTTAGATTAAATAAAAACTAAATGTCTAAAATCTAAAATGACAAGTCCAAATTTTTCATTTCAATACAATTAAACTTTTCTTCCTCAGAACATAAAACCTTCATTGATGTTAACTGAAATAGATACATACATTTAACAATATTCTTTTTCTGCTTATTATTACATGCAGTACTTCATTCAGGATACACATCTTCAATAATAATGAGCTTCTACAAAGCATCCACATTACTTACATCGAATTAACTACTCCATGATTGTCAAACAAAAGGGGGAGAAAAACCAATTGTTTCCATACTTTTCGCTTGCGATTTCAAAGTTTAAAATACTTTTGTTACTGTAACAATTATATTGAAAAGGCAAAGGGAAAAATATTACAGTTACTTCTTTTTTTTATTACAGATGCACCTTAAACGCAACAATTTTGTTAAATTATGTTCACATTATATAATATTTATCGTGTTTTAATAACAAAACTAAGGGTTCACTTTTAGAAATATTCGCGATCTAAATCTATGAAAATTTAGAAGTCTGTAAAATGCAAATACATTGCCAGATAATAGTAATGGAAAAAACTTATGACATTAAGTCATGACCCTTCTTTTTTTTCTGGTTTTTCCTTTTTTGCTTTGTTTTTGTTGGTTGAATGTATATAGTGTATGAAACTGACTGTTGATGGTCCTTAATCTTGCCTCATTACAGGAATGTAGAACAGCACATCAAAATGTTACTTAAAAAACCAAATTACATAATGCTTTTTTAACATACATATACATACTGATAAACTTGTCCATTTCTTTACGATAGTCACTTTCACTTTAATAGATATTAAAACTGAATAATAGATTTAATTTCCTCAGTAGTGACCACCTGTTTGTTCTTGATATACCTCGATAACATCATCATTTTCCATTTCCAACTGAAATAATAATCTTTGTATTATAATTGTTGTTATAATATATTATTATCTTAGGAATGAAATTCATTCTTGTTAATAGACTTTACTATTTCAAAAATGAATTTGTTTGTAACAAGCCTTGAGGTTTCATTTAATTTTCCATTACGTTTAATTCAGATACTTCTAAATTATAATTTACCTGCTTTGGTGTTTCATCATCATTAATTCTTTTACCATCAAAGAGAAACCTGAGTGACGTCATAGGAACACCCTGAATAAAATTTGTTAATTTATAATCTCCTCTTATATACATGTACAAAACATCCTTTAAACTGGTTTTTCAAATGTACAATACTTATAATTAACAATTATACGATAATTATAAAAAAATATTACTCCTGATAAAAATTTTCTGAAACTATACATGTATTTCAACTGACGTTCTGTCGTGAAAACCAATCGGTATTGTTTAATTTCGATTGAATATGCGTTTAGTTTGAAGAAAAAAAACTAACCACACGGTCGCTATACGATTTCTTGAGTTTACCCATTTGAGTGGTCATCTTTACCCTAAAGTGAATTTCATTGCTGTCCTAAAAAAGAAGAGAAAAATGAAATGTTTAAGCCGGTCACGGAATATAGCTGGAATGAATTATAAATGCAAGAAATAAAACCGTCTGTTCTTACATTTCCAACGACTTTAAGCTTGATGTATTCGGAATTCGCGTCGCCTGGGCCGGCTTCGGGTTTTTGCTCCTAATACGCAAGGTTAGACCGATTAAATACGACGTACAATCGAACATTTGGATGTTACACTGTATTTATATCGTGAGTAGTTGTTACTACCTAGCCGTTTATTAAAATGAACGAACTTACCTGGTTATCGGACATGGTAATTAATTAAATATAACAATTCTTGACCACGCGCCAGAACAGTAACCAAACACAAGCACGCAATATGGCGCCGCGCTTTTGTCAGTTCCAGTCTTCTAAAAATAAAAATTTTAACGTTCACTAGGTACGCTTGTTCAAAAACGCATCATTTTCTGACGGCTCCGCGTTTTATTTCAACTTGCGCTTTTCCGATAAATAAAAAATTAAACAATATCATGGCATTTATATCACGACAATATAGAAGATAAAACATGCGATATCACTTTTCTTTTATATGCTGACGTAAAATTAATTCTATGTCTAATATGGCGATATGTGTTTATGTTGTGATAGAGATTTGATTTGGTGATTTCGTCGGAGTTTTCTATTACATTTTCATATTTTGAAATGCAGAATAGAAATATGAGATTGTTGGTTAATACGTTAGGATTTATAATATTTAAAGATAGACAAGAAAAAGGTTTCATATGAGAATTGAATTCACAGAATTGAAAACGGAAAACTACAATTTGATTTTGATTTTACATGTATAAATTAACAAACATACTAATAATGATGTATAATTATATTTTTCATTTGTATGAACAATTCGATCGGTAACAGATGTTCGTATTTGCAATGGTAGAGACCCTAAATACTGAGTATATGTTAAATAATTAATTAGAAATAATTTATTAACGAATGAATCGAACACTAACGGTCAAAATGCAAAATAAAAATACTAAAATAGTTATGTTCTTATGAAAGAAGAACTATCTCCCATCTTGTGACATTCAGTGATACATAACGTACATTTTTACGTTAAATCGTATTCCTTCACTTTATACGATATAACTCGAATTTTTGTTTTGATGTCATTAATATAAAATATACAGATTATGTGTCACGTGTATAGAACTATTAGGTTTCTCCACCAATCAAAAACGATCACGAAAAATTACGAATCACTGTAAAAAATCACCGTGATTGGGAACGAACGTGATCGAATCACGAGTGATTCACAAGTAGCAGTTCACGCCATCTCTAAATATAAAATAAATTTTATATTGCTGTCAAACTGTTTTTGAATTCTTTTAACACTTACAATGCATTAACAATTGATGGCTTTCGCGTTTTTAATTATTGTTTGATTGTTAAACACGTACTGAAAAAGGCACGTAGTGCTAACTACGGTAAAACGCCCAAGTTACTAGCCTAATATGTTGTTAAAGAAGGAATTGCATGTTATACAGTAGACATTCGATTCCCGCACGATTCGGGGCTGTAGAGGGCTAAATTTCCAGGAATCGATGATCAGTTACCATAAACATTAAGATATATTCGTTGTTTAATAATTCTGTATATCTGGATTTCTATCTGTTATAATTATTAACAATTCGTATTGTGAATTTCAGACGATAGAAGTTAAAGATAAGTTTATTGCCATATAGAATATCTTTGAGTTTCAACCTAATTAAATCTCAGCAAATTTATAATAAAAATAAATCTCACTTTACCTACTGTTGTCTTAAATTAATGTATGACAATGTGAATTTGTATGATGATTTGCAATCTATTTATGACAGTTGTTTGAGGGAATTTCCATTCAAATTTGCCTTTGGATTTTTATTCTGTCCTTACTGTTTTATTGTATACTTAAAAAGACATATAGGGGTCCAACATATCTGCAAAATATCTGAGATACCACCGACTGTATAGTCACCAAAGACATTGCTTTCTTTATTCTTTTTCATCTTTTTTTGTAATGACTATAACATTTAACAGGAAAAACACTTTCAGTTTTTATAAATATTCTCATTCATACAATTTCGATAATGTATACAATACGTAATACAAAAAAAATTCCTTATGCCATCTCATCCCAGTCACAAAAATTCAAGTCTTCTTCGTTGAGTTCAAGTAACTCTTTCATTTCCTCAGTTGCACAATTGGTTTCTGATACATTATTTGTACTTTTATTAATTTCAGTCTCTTTTACTATTTCTTTGTTGGCCCTAGATTGGAATTTGTCACTATTTGTAATGTAATTTAATATTTTCTGTTTTGAATGTAATGCTTGTTTTGTAACAGTAATGTCCTGGAGAGAAAAATCTTGATCGAGTCCGACCTCGTTTAGTACGTTCATCTTTCTCTGGATTAAAGGCCACAAGTAATCGTCTGCCGTTCGTTTAGCGATTAAATATTGAATAACAACATTGTCGTCTTGGCCGATTCTATGCACTCTATCCTCTGCCTGGCACAGTACCTGTACATAAAAAGACATTTTATTAATTTAAATGAAATCAGTTTCAGTTTAATAATGAGTATAAATACCCCAGGATTCCAGAACAGTTCTGCAAACACTACCAGTTGAGCAGCTGTTAATGTAATCCCTGAATTTGCTGCTGTAATCGACAGTATTGCAGCTAAATAATCATCATGTTTTTGAAACTTGTCAATCTGATACTTTCTTCGTTCAGGATTTGTTTTTCCATCAATTCTAATATATCTGAAATACATGTCCACTTAGCTATAAACAGGAAAGTTACAATTGCAAGCGTTACATACAAGAAAACTGTAATTACTTTGTATCCATAGATTCTGCTGTTTCACAAATAGCGTCTAGAATGATTTGATGATGAGCGAATATAAGACATTTTTGTTTATTCCTGAATAACTTAGAAACGTAATCACTGCAAAATTATAACTGTTAGAAAAATGGTTATTTTAGTGTAGTTTTAATAAACGAAAACGTCATTTACCATACAGCTTTTTGCTTAGCAAAACTGGTTTCATTATAATACTGTATAAGAGTGTTATGTCTTTCTGTCCCTCTTAAATTTGTCTTTTCTAACTTTTTCGACACTTCCTCCATTTCTTTTGTGCCGACTTTTATTAAGTCTGGATCTAGTACAATGATTTCCCTAGAATTTAATTTTTTATTTAAAAAGAATTCAATCTATGTTTCCAATTTATTTTTGCACAACGAATTATCCGGTCCGATAACTGCTATTAGACTCTGAATTTTCATCTTTACCTTTTCTTCGTTGGTAATTCATTCAATACATCAGTTTTTAGCCTTCGAATTACACAAGTGTGTTTTAACAATAATTGTAATTCTTGCATATTTGATGATCCTGTGAAATCCCATCCAAAAGAAGTTTTCTCTCCATTACAGTAACGGATTCCGTAATCCTGATATCTGCACAAATATAATACTTTGTTCACAATTCAGACATATCGCGCTTAGCGAATATTTTACATTACCTCATGAAATTTGGCATTATAAGATTTATTTGAGAATACAGTTCTATTGGTCTTGACAGAGCTGGTGTCCCAGAAAGAAGAATCACATGACCCGCTTGGAAAACTATACGCTCTGCAGCCTTATGTCTAGCAGTCTTTCCACTCTTTAAAGCATGGGATTCATCCTGAAATTACATACAATCATTTTAATAAAGCGTGCACTTTGAACAAACTAAAAAAAGTGCTCATCATATGTACCAGAATAACACAACCAAAAGTTCGACGTTCAAACGTGTCCACTGCTCGTACTAAGAGATCATAAGTTGTGATAACAATCTTACTGTCCTTACAAAAGTCTTTGATGGTTAAAAACTGATGAACATAATGTATGGGTACAGATGGCAAGAACGTGTATATTGCTTCTGCCCATTGATACCTGAATTCATAGGCTCCAATTTACTACTTACACTTGTGAAACCAATATATAATTTTCAAAGATTGCTGAATAATGTATGTTTTGTACCAGACCTAACTGAAGATGGTGTAACAATAAGAAGGGGCCAATCTTCCATGAAGTAATGTGCAATGCCTAATGCTTGAATAGTTTTCCCTAAACCCATATCATCAGCAATGAAACATCGACCACCTTTTGATACCCCATAACTAAAGAAAGAGAGAAAATATTACTAAAAAAAGGACAAGTTAATAATTACAAACATAATCCATGAACACTAAACAATGAAAGTTACCTCACTCCTTCGCGTTGAAAGGGCATTAACTGATTCAACAATTGCTGATCAATTTTTGATAAATCAATGTCTGCAGCAACTTTGTCCGAAGTATTATTTCTTTTGAATATCTAAAATAAAATTTTTAAATATTAACACTGATAAAGGATAATTCATACTTAAATGTAATACCTCAAGAACTGTTTTTGGTAATCCCATTATTTGTACATCAGATTTGAAATTAGTCAACTTTGTCATTAAACTTTCATAATCTTTCAAGAGGAAACTCCATGTTTTAGTTTTCATATCTGAAACAAATGGATTATGAAATTACTGGTACTTTCTACTAATGCTACTCAATTTAATGAACACAATTAATAGCATTGATCATATTACCGTACACCCTACTTGAAATTGTTTTTAATACTTCGATAAGTGGTGGAATATAAGATGATGTTTCCAATACAAATCTATCATCACTTATCATATAACATTTTCCTGTCATACATGTTTTCTGCCCAAAGAAACTTTTTGTTTCTATAGGATTAAAACGTTCTTTTTGTTTGGCAAATTTTCTGTTGCTCTTAAAAGAATTATTTCCAGACTTTGCTGCAAATTCACCAAATCTGTTTCTATTATGCCAAGGAGACTTAGCTGTATTTGACGATTTGTTTTCATTGCCAATAATAGAGGGTATAGTGATTCCTGTTTTAATAATATTGGGTGAATTACTCTTTATTTGAGCTTGTTGCTTGCGCTGCAAAGCTAACAAGCGCTTCCTCTCTATTTCTTCACTAGAATAATTCATATCTGTGGTTCAAAAAGGCAACGTTAAAATATAGAATATTTTCCACTCTGTAAATGATTATATCAGAAAATAAAAATTATATTAATAGAAAGAAGCTAGAAACAGAAGTAAAGTCTCAATAACACTGATCTTATAGTATGAATTTACTTAATTATATGAATAAAATGTTGCATTTATTACGCACCTGATGTATAATGAAATAATTAATACTTCGTAAATTACTATACACACGACAAATAAATATACACACAGTTATCGAAATTTATAAACCATCGGTGAATTTGATAAGAATTTTTTTTTGTATATAAGAAAAGACATTTGTTGACAGTGGTTGACAAACGCTAAGACGATAAGGCACGTCGCACACTATTCCACTATTCTGTAGTCACTTTTAGATACATGGTCATTGGTTGGTTTAGATTATAGTAAATTTACAAATCTGAATGGATAGTCCGTGAAATCAACACTTAACAAAATTGCAAATGGATTTAGAACTACATTCTGTCAAAGTTTCTACAAACTTTCCGAACGAATATTACGCTTTTCGTGTTTTTGACAAAGCTATGAAACAGAAATGAATTTCGAGATTATTTTCGAATTTATAACTTTACTGGAGAATACGAAGAAATGGTTACACTTTTGAAAAGTTGTAGGATTTTCAAAAATATAGTTTGAAACTTTGTCATACTGTCGACCAGATCATTGTTTGTTAATATGTGAAAAACTGATTGTTTTGCATTGATAATTTATGAAAAATTTTGAAAGTATAATACATGTTTCGGTTTGTCATTAGATGTATCGCTATGAGAGAAAGGTTTATACATTACAGATTTTAGCCGGTAAATTTACGATGGTGGAATGGTGTGTATTAGAGACACTATAAAAATAGGGCCTCTAGTGCACCCTATATAGTGTGTATATGTACTGTATACGTACGTCATATGATTATTGCATCGATGTTTAGAAAAACAAACGTTTGAAGAAGTGAAGATTGTCTTTATAAACGTCGATTTAATTAAAGAATTAAATTGCAAACGATTACGGGTGATAAAGATGTTGTTTCCATTGTTGCTCTTATTGTTCATTTGTCAAGAAGGGAAAAATATTGAAGTTGAACCATCGGAAACAATAATTTGGGGTCCAGGACTGAAACCGGATAAAATAACAATGCGAGCACGATATATTTTCTTTCAATTAGTTGACTCGAATGGAAAAAAGTATGTATTTATGTTCTAATATAATTGTTATTTTATTAAAATTCTAATATTTTATCTATTTATGATTTACTTTTATCTCTCCTGAAACATTATTTAAACATTTTTAAGCGTAACAGAATCACCAGGGAAAGATATAATATCTGCCCATATACAAGGTCAGACTTCAGATTACATAGTACTTGCTTCAATTTAAAATTGAAAGTTAATGTAAAGCATGTATCTGTTTTGTCAATGGAATTTAAAGGTATTCATTAATTTGATAAATGGACTATAAATATTAACAGTGCATATTATAACAAAAAATATAATGCGAATGCTTAGGTCCTGTTTATGAAGAGGAATGTTATTGCCCAAATACTTTGATTAACAGTTGGCTAGAAGATCTACAGTGCTCGAAGAATTACACACAAATATATCACGATTTAATCCCTTTTAATAATGTAGATTTCAATGAAATACGAGAAGATATTATAAAAGCATATAATCGACCAGGGAGTGTTAGTCTTTGTCATTATGTAGTTAAATCTAATAAAGTAAGTACTACCATATCCTCATTGTAATTTACGTCAAATGTGTTGTTCAATCTGTGTTGGAATTAAACTAGATGAAATAAGATTTTTAGAAAATGCTATGGCAAATACGTGGACTTTAAAATATTCATGGACTCCATTTTATTATCCATCACTCGAAAAGTTGTCTTACCAGACATTGAATTCTTTGTGAACTTGGGAGATTGGCCACTTGTACCCAAAACTGGCAAGAACTATCCTATCTTCTCTTGGTGTGGTTCCTCTGATACTAAGGATATTGTTATGCCGACTTATGACATTACTGAATCATCTTTAGAAGCAATGGGAAGGTATAAACTTTATCAAATTTTAAATTATAGGTCAAATGTATGTATAACACAATATTATAACATTTGTTATGTTGGGTGATGTTACACATAAAACAGGGTAATGTTAGATTTGTTATCTGTACAAGGTAACACAGACACACCATGGAAAAGAAAGGTAGAAAAAGTGTTTTGGCGGGGCCGTGATTCACGTCTAGAACGACTACATCTTATTGATATCTCGAGGAAACATCCTGAGTTGTTTAATGTTTCAATTACTAACTTCTTCTTCTTCAAAGATAAAATAGATAAATATGGCCCAGGACAGAGCCCTGTATCATTTTTTCATTTCTTCAAGGTAAAAAATATGAATGGATAAATTAAGATATTTTGGATTTAGAATAAAACACAGATATATGTATATAATATTGTCAATGTTTATACAGTATAAATACCAGCTGAATATTGATGGTACAGTAGCTGCATACAGAGCCCCATATTTGCTCGCTGGAGATTCTTTAGTACTCAAGCAAAAATCAGTGTACTATGAATTCTTCTACAATGATCTTGTTCCTGGAAAACATTACGTTCCAATAAAAAGTGACTTATCAGATCTCGTTGAAAAAGTTATGTGGGCTAAAAAACATGATGAAGATGCACTAGAAATTACTAAGGCTGCCAGGCAGTTTGCGAGAGACAACTTGCTACCCCGCGACGTGTTATGTTATCACGTGGTTCTATTCAATGTAAGAAATTCAAGTATGATTAGACAGATTCAACTTCATTTATTCTTTTTAAATATGTGTCATAGAATAACATGTTTCTTTACATTTCAGGAATGGAGTAAACGCTTAAAGAGTAAAGTTAAGGTACTGGATAACATGGAGGAAGTGCTGCAACCTACTCACTCTTGTGAATGTTACAATGCAAAATTAAAAGAGGAGCTCTAGTTCTATATATGTTTCTGAATATTTCAGTAATGCGACTTATTTTTAAAAAGATGAAATTTTTTCGAAACGGATGTTACATATTTAAATCGGAACTTTAAACACAATAGACGTTTTGAAATGCAACTTTAAAATGAATGGAAAAGATCGGTATGTATATCGGTATACAAGTAAGAATTTTGTAAGGAAAATATAAGGATTCAATTGTAAATTGATGACAATTTTTTAATGAGAATCCAAAAAAAAAAATATAAAATTAGGTAAGTAAATATAAATGTAACTCTAAGGCAAATGTGTATACTGGAAGCTGTAAATAGGTAGTACATGGTGTACCATGTTTGGTACGTTTCATCTCGGTGTGATATAGATACGTGAATCCTGTAATATGTACACCGATACTCGAGTAATCGACGCGCGTTTTTAAGTGTGATATAAGCTAGTGTCTCCATTAAAAGTAAATACGGATTTACAGGTTACTTAACGTACGAGGTAAAACAAAAACCCAGACACTGTAATATAGCGGTTCCGCAGCAGTATATTGAACAGTGAAAATTATTCTAGAATATCGTTACGCTCGTTAAAAGGGAATCTTCAAAGCTCAGTCTTTGAAGCTTCTCGAAGTACGTATGTACGATTCACAATGTCTACAAATAATTACTTTGTATCGAAGTACTTTTGGTATTATTAATTCGAGAACCTTGTTCAACGAGAACAAGAATGATCTTTCAACAATTTCCCGAATGGTTTTTTCTTTTTTAATGTGAGGACATATTAGCTGCACCTTTCCTTATAATAAAACTAGACGTACGGATGTTTATGCAAACATATATTTTTGTAAACGAATGTACAAAAACTAGAATCAGATGAGAACTTGCCTCTGTTATTAAGGGTTTTACTATACCGAGAACAAGAGGATGAAATTTCTCTATTTTATTGCGTTCCGAACGTTCGGGAACACGACAAGTGCATAAAATCCGCAGTCTATATAAAACTTTATATTATTTGCCTCGTTACGTAACATCGGACGATATGACAGCAAGAATTAAATTAAAACGTTATATGCCATTTGTTCCATACTTGCAATTGAACCATTTATATTAGTTTGAATACTATACGAATTTACATTAATATACTCTATTGTGGAGGTGGTTGATATCCGTAACCACCGTATTGATTAGGTGGTGGAGGTCCCTGGGGCCCGGGTGGAGGAGGCATGTGACCGCCAGGAGGTCGTGGTGGATACTGCGGATATCCTTGTCCTGCTGGTGGAGGTGGATAACTTTGCGGAGGATATTGTGGGTGTCCGTAATGTTGACCACCTTGCGGAGGATGAGGAGTATATACCTGCAAGTTGTTCGGTATTGGCTGTATATACCTGTTAGAATAATTCGAACATTACTGGCTTTTCAGAAGGCTAATAATACCTGTGGCTGTCCACCTGGAGTTGGCGGTACATACGTCTGCGTAGTAGCTGGCCCATAGCCAGGTTGTGGCTGTGGACCTGGTGGTGGAGCAGGAGGACCCTGCGGAGGTCCTGATGGTGGCTGGAATCCACTTGGCGCAGGGCTTTGAGATTGTTGCTGTTGTGACTGTGGCGGGGTCTGCGATTGTTGTTGAGATTGTTGCGCTTGGTGGGGAGATTGATGCGCAGGTGGTTGATGGGACGATTGATGAGAGGGTTGATGCGGTGATTGATGAGGCGCATGAGGAGGCTGATGAGGAGACTGATGAGGAGACTGATGGGGCGGTTGATGAGGCGGATGGGACGTTGGATGAGGCGTTTGATGGACCGGATACCCGGATGGAGCCGGACCAGATGGGGCGTAGCTGCCGCCTTGAGATGTAGGTGGTGGTCCACTGCTCGGTGGATAGGTTTGAGTCGAGGCTGACGGTGTACTTGTCGGTTGGCTGCTTTGGGCATAAGTATTGCCTCCGCTTGCAGAGGCAGTGCTAAACGGAGGAGACGTAGAGGCTGGTCCGTACTGTGTTGCACCTGGTCCGGGGCTTGGCTGATTCCCGTAATTAGGCTGGGGACCAGTGTTCTGTTGGGATCCGGGTTGCGGTGGCTGTGACGTACTGGATGCTGGAGGAGCTGGATAATTCTGCGGCGGAACATTATTTGCGTACGCCTGAGACGAAGGGGGAGGATAATTTCCAGGCTGACCACCTCCGTATGCATTCTGAGGCGGCGGCTGAGCTGGAGGTTGCTGGTAGTTTGGTTGTGGGCTAGGACTGCCATATTGTCCTGGTTGTTGCTGTTGGCCACTCGACGGAAAGTTTTGTTGCGAAGGATTAGTAGGTGGATAACCTTGTTGATTCGGAGGTGGCGGGCCATAGCCTGTGGGAGGTTGAGTAGTTCCCGGCGGTGGATATCCGCCCGGTTGCGGACCGTAACTGTTTACTGTAGTTGGAGGGCCGTAATTTGGTTGTGTCGATGTATTGTATCCCTGTTGCGGAGATGCGTTCGGTGGCCCGTATTGATTCGGTTGTCCTGGAGTGTACGCTGATCCTTGCGGGCCTTGATAATTGGAGCCAGGATTTTGATTACCGTACTGAGCAGGATAACCCTGTTGAGAAGGTTGCTGGGGATAGCCTTGAGGTCCTCTATATTGTTGTGGTCCAGGTGCAGTAGGTGGTCCTGTAAAATAAAAAAAGCATCAACGAATAACGAAATTATTTTAAACTATTAAAATTTTAGTCTTTCACGGAAAGACACCGACTCTAGATATAACATACTATTTATAGCAGGTCCTTGTCCAGACATAACAGGGCCACGGTATCCACCCTGTGACATTGGCTGTCCTTGATTAAAGCTTGACATTGGCAATGTAGGTTGACTGTTTGGTGGCATCTCCCCTACAGGTCCACCAGAACCTGCAGGAGGAGTGGGTAGGGCTTGAGGATTCATCATAGCATGCTGCGGACCATTAGGTATTCCCTGTGGAGGCTTATTAGTTAAAGAAATATTGTTAGTACTATATGTGCAATCACAGAGTATATGTGATATAATAAATTATATACAAAAATACTTCTTACAGGTAATAATGCTTGTATATTTTGATTAGCATCAGCAATTGATGCCAAGTATACCAAATTACGATGTAACATCTGTTGATATCTAAAAACAAATTACACAATAAATAGACTTGTTTTATGGCAATAAACATTTCCAAATTTCTATGCTTTTGAAATTATATTTTACTCACTGTATACATTCTTGTGGCTTTCCCTTGTTCTGATATTCTTGGATTGTCTGTATCAGCTGACTATTCTCATCAAGCATCTGTACATAATCATTAATCTATATAGGTCCAATGTTTGTTTGTTATGGAAGCTACATGATTAGTTGAACAAATTACTAATGGTTTTGGGTGACACAGTTTTTTGATGTAATGTTATTTCATACAGCATGCACAAGGTATACGAATGAAATAAGTATAAAAACAAATAATGTAACACACAAATATCATCGATAATACATAATATTTGTTACCTTCTGTATTTGGGCAGGATTTGGTGGCGGCCTACCGCGTTGAGCAAAGGTCACGGACATGGTTTCAGGTGCTTTATAAATGGTTCAATACTCGCGGTAAACGTGTTTCGTTCGTCTAAAATTTCTTTCGCCTTGTACAACAAGTTGTCGGCCGCGTCCCATGAATTGCTGAATAGATTTGAAACTTCAAGACTTCACTACGGTCTTCGTTGTCCACATTGTTGCACCGTAGCTTCAACATTCAGAAAAGAAGCGACACGACACGGAACCTCCGAAACCGTAAAAACTTACGGGTTCCTCAACTTTAACGGTTCCTTCTCCCAAAAGAAATTTCTAAATATAGCGAATCGCGACTAGCGATTCTTTTGCAAAATTTCTAGTTTTACAAATAAGAGATGGTTGCCGTTCATTTCTAAAATAGAAAGCTTGGGAAAAGAGCGTACCGCGTGGCAAACGCGCGAACTATATAATGGCAAAATATATGCGACGGTAAAAACTCAAAATCCGTTATTTACTAACCTATGCTGGTGGAGACTAAAGCTAGTTGACATTCAAATAAGATGAAAATTGATTGAGGAAGCATAACGACAATCGAAATATTTGCAACTATTTTATTGTAGAATGCTAATACAGTTCGTATATGTCTAATAATTATATAATTAGTATTTGCGATAAAGGAAAATTGCTAGTCAGCTTACAACTGAGGTATAAGGATAGAACTATAATTCAAACATTCAATATATTTTCATGTGCGGAGTTTTTAAGGTTGTAGAATCTAAAGCTACATTATATTTTACTGTTACGCCCGACGTTACCGATGAAGCACTACATGATTACATTGTAACATCATTTTCCTAATGTAGAGGGCAATAGAAAATCTCTGATGGTTTGCACGATCGGTGTTTCAGAACATGTAACACGAAGTCCCATAAGATGTAACGTCTATTCTATATCTCCTCTGTGCATTATCTTCCCCTCGACGCTTTCAGAGTTTTGAAATATGGCGCAAACGACATTACTGAGGCAGCACAATCGATCCAACAATTGCGTCTACATAGCTGTTTTCTGCTGTTTTCCTAACCTCGGAAGAACGCATGAACAGTGCGTGTGTAAAAAAAATTGGACTGTCAAAATTTACTATTGAAAAAGGAAATGAGCGATGCTGAACTTCAGGAAGAAGAAAGAGAAGTACTTCTTTCGATATACGAGGGCGATGCAGCTTTTAAACAGTTGACACCCACGACTTTTCAGTACAAGGTCGGTGCTACAAAATACCACCGACGATTATTCCTTAAATAGGCGTAACTAGAGCAAGAATTGAACTTATCCAAATCGTACGATCCAAAGACCTTAACTTCACCTTTCGTGCTGTCATCTTAACTTTGAAATCGCTCAATATCAAACTCGTTTAAATTTAGCTACAGTTTATTGATATTATATTACATTTGAGTTACAATACGCACGGAGAAATTAACACTAATTGTATGTACAGTATGGAGAAGATAATGATATGAAATCATTTCTATTGGAGATCTCATGGGGTCCGACATATCCATCAGAGAAACCTACCATTAATATGAATACTTTTTACAACAAGCACATGTAAGTCCAGTTATGTTATCTTTTGACTATTCTTGCATTCTGTTACTTTCATTAAAGGTGAATGATTGGAATACAGTGTACAAGATGTGAAAGACAGTGTGGTAAAATATGTGGAGGCAGAGGCTGATCAATGGCTTGGTAGTGCCATGACATACACATTAATTCAGTATGTTCAAGAGCATTATCTTGAATTGATTTCCGCACAACCAGATTCTGTTGGTGACCTAAATTCACAAGCCAGCCAGCTTAAAATAGCAGATGAAAAACGACAAGTAAGTAATGCTTTCGTTGAAACCTAGGCTCAATTGAAATACATGAAAGAAAACCAATTCATTATGCGAAGACTGAAGAGCCAACAAAGAAACCGAAGAAGGAACAACTGAGTAAAGCCCAGAAGCGTCGACAATGGAACAGAGCAGATGGAAAAGGAGAAAGGCCACGAGGATGGGACTGGGTGGACATAGTAAAACATTTATCACAGACTGGTCCTAAGCAAGAGCAAGAATCTTAGTTCATGTTCAACTGAGAAATTTTGTACAGGTTAAAGGCGTGTTATATTTTTATAAATTATTGGAAATAAACTGGTTTCCATATCAGTTTTACTATACTATAATCACCTGTGATAAAAATTTGTAAAAAAATATTTCTGGATAATTTTATCTCATCGCCAACAGATAGTTACAAGATATGCAAATAAAATTACATAAATGATCAACAGTTATAAAATTTCATCGAGACAAATAATGTTGAGAAAGGAGCAACAATATCCGAATGTTTAATGACCATTGTTTGCTTCTCTTTTACCATTTTACGATCTTTAAAAAAATCTCCAAGCTGCTACCGGTAGCAAATTAGTGTCCGTTATCCACCCTAAAAGAAGTACATCTAGTAATTAAAAAAAAAAGATGCAAAATTTTTAAATAAGTAGATTTATATACCTTTACTCTCAAGGCCACTAATAAATGCTTTGTATTCATTGGAAATCAATAAATTAGTAGCATAAATGCTTTCTATAGCTTTCGATGATCGTGCGCCATTGTTTAAAGCAGAGTATTTCTTATTAAATGCATAAAGGCGCATTAAGGGATATGATACATCACTCACTTCCGGTTTTAAGAAAAGATCCTTAAAATATGCAATGCTTATTACATATATATGCTTCCATAAAGCAAAAACTATATGGCACATTACTTACAAGTGGCACTTTAAGAGACATACAAATGAACAAGCCGCAAAGGCAAGCATGAAAATACGCTTCTAAAACGTCCGATGGTTGCGCATCTTTTTTAAAACATATAAAAATAGTTCTATTCTGTACATCAATAGAAATCAAATATTTCCTATCTAAAAAGAGTTTTAATAATAGTTCAATGTCGCTTGTCGAAATTATATTTTTCTTTATGAGAGTGGCAAGGGAGATGCCCATTTTTATGTTAAATCCACATAAACTCATTGCTGAAAAGAAAAGTAATTAGTACAGGCAATAAAACCTATTTGTCTATTCGAAATACAATGATAAAGTTAAAGAATCTTACTAGGTTTTGAGAGCATCAGTACTGATTCGTTTTTATTAACTTCTCCAGGTTCGGGAATGACTTCGTTAGTAATGTAACTTTTGATTATTAATACTAAGCGGTCTTCATTTAAAGAATTTAAACGTAGAGCTTTCACAGCCGAGTAATTTGCATATAGATGGACTACCACCAGAAAGAGATAGAGTTCCATTATGTATCTATACGCAGATTATATATACTATAGGTAGATCACAATGTTATGAAGTTATTCATTATAAGGCCATGCACAATACTTATATAATAAATAATATATGTATATAACAGTATATTTACCGGCCACTGTGAAAAATAGAAAGTACTAAAATTCCTACAAAAGATCCTATTAAATTCACACATGTCTCTTGACTTCCATCTTTGGCTGAAACATCTGCCAAATTATTCTGCAATGCCTATAGTAAAAATAAGCAAGCCACATTATAAAAACTGATCCATAAATAACAAATAAATCTTCTTTCAGGTGTAGTATACCTGATGCTGTGTAAGTGCTGCCCTGGTTGCTCCACCAGCTACACCAACAATTGATTTCATTGTTGTTGAAATGCATAATATTACAAGAGAATAAGGAGAGAAGTAAGGTAAGAGTAATTCTATTCCCATTGCTAAATCGTTAAGAATATCTGCAAAAAGTCTCCACTTTTTACACTGTCCATCTAAATCTGTCCTAATGAATGGAAAACAGACTGTTTTATATAAGCTATGTGGGACTGCTTAATCCTTTATGAATGATCTCAATTACCCATGCAACCATGCAAATACAATACGGCCGACCATCCCAGTTCCATCTTTTAATATCCATGTTATTGCTGCTGCCAGTGGTGTTGCAGCAGCTTCACCTACACCTACCCCTTGCATAATGGAATGTGTTGTCAGGGTACCTATTATGGTACTTGCGAATGCCTGGGAGATAAGATGCCATGATAGAATAGACAATATATGCACCATAGTGTTATTCAAAGGTATTTTTTTAACCTTCTTGTGAGATATCTTTCAATAATTTATGTTGTTATTAGAATTAAAGAATGCAAGTAAATTATAACATCGATTGATAATAATAATCATGTCTTTAATACATTTACAAAAATAAAGTACCATCATATAAAGAGCTACAAAACAAATAGAAGAATAAAATAACAAAGAATAGTACAAAAATAAATATAAAGGATAAGATTCAATGTGCAATTGCAGTGGATATTATTGAACTTAACCCAAACTTGAATGAAATTACAAAAGAAACAATACAATTTTTGCAATATATTTATGTAAATATGTCGAATATGCAGATGATCACCAGCATCGGTAAGAACCTGTTCGCTGGGAGACGTCATAGAGTCCATTCATCGCTCTAAAAACTAACCTGTACAATGTCCCATATTTGATAGGGAGTATAGTCTTGGTGAACACTGTCGGGATATCCTTGAGGCAAAAATACCTCCTTGACAATCGATACGAAACCGGAATAAAAAGACTTCGTCCTAGTCGTGTCTGATAACAATTCGGTTATCGAATGCTCATCTGTCAGATAAACGCAAAAGTAGGTTAGGTGCACCGTTTAGTGACGTTTGGTACATCACAATACTGTTACCTTTTGATTTCACAAAAAACCTGTTTTTCTCATCCCCCCAGGTCTCGCTGAACAGTAATCGCTCATGCATCCTGATTTGCACTAAGATTAATTTGATTTGATTCGAACAGCTTTACATATTCACGAACGTAGTCGCTGTTACATCCACGCGTGATTAATCCTTCAATGTCGTTGGTTGTTGCCTCGAAATTCCCTAATATTTTAGTAAAAAAAAAAAAAAGTCCCTCTGATAAATTTCAGTTAAAATAATATACAGTTTACGAAAATATCGGGTCAATTTTATCGTGTTATAAAAATCAAAAGATGACTATCCTTATGAGGACCGCTCGGTATTTCGGATTCAAGAAATTGAACCTTTTTAAAAACTGAGCAGATAGAGGGAAGAAACAAGGAATAGGCCACGGAATATAATTTGATATTCACCTGGAAGAAATTATGAAAAAATTAACGAATACGTTAATTAGCAACCTGGAGTGCAACCCAAAGTGGAAACCTTTTGATTCTAAAGTCATAACGCCATTGTTTCAATTTTCTGTGTCGTCGGAAATATTCAGATCCGGAAAGATCAGGACAATGTCTTCAATTATTCCATTCAGTTCCGCTATGCAGGCGTCCAGTCTTCGTTTCACATTCTTCACGTTGAACCTCGCGGTCTTGTACGAACAGACCTTCTGCATTTTATCGCTGAACTCCGAAGTGATGCGATTCCCGCGGAATTCCGCGCCACCGCCCATTCGATCCATTATCGAACATTCGAAATCTGGGTGCTCGTTTTCTTCGTCCTTTCGTGGATCTGCTTCATTCTCCTTCAGGTAACTTTTGAAAATGTTATTTTCTTGCAATCTCTTGAACTGGTTTAATGCCTCTTTTCCTCCTTTGCGGACAATTTCAACCGACTCAAACGTCCAATCGATTGTTTCGTCCAACATATCCTCCTCGAGATCCCCTCGAAAAGCTTTACTGTCCACAGAATCGTCCTGTTGCCCGCGTCCAAACGTACATTCCTCCCTGTTTCGTTCGTTTCTCCACGATTCCATTTCCTCCACCCCAGAATCAAAGGTCACGCGAACATTGCTCTTCGGTGAACCGACAATTTTATTCCGTTTCGCCGATTTGAATCTTTTAAAAAAGCCTCGTATCCATTTACGGCCCATCGTTGAATCGTACTGAACTCCACGGGAGATTCTCTTCCTTCTTACTTTCGGAAGCTTCTTGTACACAAGATTAGAGTACGTGTTACCGTTTATACGAGTGTGCAGAATATTCGCTAAGATTTCGTAGTCAAACTCCTGTTTCTCGTTGCGATTGATCACAGAAACACCCTGAAATGGAACCACGTGGGTAACAGCTGCTTTCGGAGGCACGGGCGCATCGGGTTTTGCGGTTTCTCGAAAGATGTCAGGTTCTGTTTCGTAACAGCGCGGGACGGACAGGTGTCCGTGACTGCCATCTCCCAGCGATCTCTCCTCCGTGTCAACGTCGACGCTTTTGAGCGCGCTAACCTCGTTTCGTAATCCCAAGATTTTACGGTTCAAAGTGGTTATGATTTTCGCGATGTCATTCAGGCTCGTTTCGTCCTCAGCGACCGGACAACAACAGCGTCTCGGCTCCTTTTCGCCCGTCGACATGTTTACTGGCCTTTTTACGCGATGGCATCTTACACAATCCGAAACAGAGAGCCGGTCAGTGATTCGACGTTAATTTAATATACTGCAATTTTCCGTCGAGCTCCATTAAACATGTTTTCCCCCTAAATAAACTGGTATATCTCCATATCGTCGTGAAGTGTGACTTCAGCTCTTGTATACACGCGACTCATCTGTTCCCTCGATCGCCGAAACAGGCGATAAGGTTAACGGGAACACACGATTTTTTTTGGACGTACACATACGAACGATATGTCGCGATTTTTATAAACCGCAACATGACCGATCGATACGTGAAGGATATCTTGGAGAAATTGGAGGAGATCGAGAAGCTGCACTCGAAGCTCCGCAGTCTGGTGCCTCGTATGAAGAATCATCCCGAGGCCGGAAGTGCCGCCGCAAACGTCGCTCACAGATACGCGAACCAAGTTTCCGTCACGGAGGCGAAGGATAACGCGAAGAATTCTTGGGAACGTAAATTGTCCGCGAACCGGGTCGATTCAGGCGGATTAAGAAGTTCTCGTGGCTCGAGATACTTGAAAAAATTGCGAAGCAATTCGGTGAACTTCGTTAGCGGGCAGTGGAACGACAAGAAGGACAAAATCAAGGGTTTCCTGGCTGACTTATTCGAACGCGACGTGATTCTCGGTAAACAGCCGATTAATACTAGAACTTACCAACGATAAACGCATATTTGCTTCAATCGGTGGATAAACGTAAAAAACTTTTGAAAATTTAGAAATTGACTAATTTCTTCAATTTCATATCGTAATGAAAGGTGCAAATGATCTGAGAAAATGTTATTTTGAATTGCTTGGTAGTTTTAGTGTTAAATCAGAACACGTGAAACGTTGAATGGAGTTATAAGCGTAACCCCGCCGATCTTCCAGTGACCAGAGCCGCGCAAACGACCGATAGCTTGGTGGACGGGCCGATGACTTCGAGAAAACAGTCAAGCACAAGAAACCAGAACGGACGAATCGGCAAAAATGGGTTTTCGTGGGCGCAGAAGCGGCAGATTCGCAAGAAACGGAGAAGCAGTGGGCAGGGGCTGTTAGAACGAATCCTAGAGCAGTTTAATTATACCCATGATTCCGATCTCAGCAACGAGGACAGAGTGTCGATACGTGATCATCCTTTAGGTAGCCAGGTGCCACACAGAGCGCAGAAACTGTTGCTGCTTCCGGACGACGAGACCGAGACATTAGGAATTATTTCGAACGCCAAGAGGGTTTCGGTTGACGATAATGAGATCTATTCATCATCGGATAGACGGATACATAGGTTCGCGAGAAGGTACAGCGGCGATCATTGAACATAGTAAGGTTATGTTTTACAATTTGAACGATACGTCATCGTAATGATATACATATCCGGATAGAATAGATTACAGCTAAAATTTATTTAATTCAAATAGAAGCTGTACACCATCGAAGAATTTCGACGAATATTCTCTATACAACAAGAGTGATATACAGGTTCCACTTCATCTCAGTTTTAAGTTTTCCTGCCGGAACAAGAGTTCGCCAGCCTGTACCGCCATCTGAGCCAAGTTCCGAAAGATAGTGTTGCAACAGCACTCGACAAGAGAGAAAGAGATGTGTGCTTAATACTTCATCGACGGGAAGGAAATGTTCGAAGGAAACCTTAAAGCGCGTGGCTCGACTGATGGGGGCACAGGAAAGGCGGGTTCCACCGGAAGTCACGCAGGCTGAAACATAACATTACGATCACGGGTAGAATCCTTCGATCGTGTATCGGTTAATTTCTGATTTCCTGACGAACGGAGGGGGGGGGGCAGCTCGTTGTCGTAGACAGAACAAAAACAAGCCATCCGTTAACGCTGCCGATTTTCTTTCATTTCTCCGTGAATTAGGGTTTCCATCGTCGTTTAACATTTCTTTTAGATCGCCGCCTCGTGGCTTGTTACTCTTAATGTAATTCTCTTTCTCTTGTTTTCTACAAGCAACGCGGGAAACAGAGAGCAAAAAATGCAGGACACGGTGCAATTTTCTGAAATTGCTCTCTTTTCACCTGATTAACGCAAGAACCACCGTGACTAATCGATCCCGGTGATCCCTTATCTGGTATTGCACTACGCTTCGCGGCGGTCTCGGCGCAGAAAACTCGAAATTCGTAATGAGATTTTTTATGATGTAAAAAAGTGGAACTCGTGACTTGCACGTGTTACGTATGGATCGCGTCTTTATTCCGCGATGAGGAGCGCTCAGTGTTGCCAGTTTAACCGACTGCATACCATGATGTTTCTTCAAAAATGTGTGTATTCGTTATAACACCATTTTACACCGTGAACAAAAGTTTCTAGAATAGATCGTACCGTGTTTTATCAACATTTGAGACTACTTTCGCAATAGCGTAGAAAACAAGAGACAGAAGATATCATTTCAATCGTTTAAATATGCATAGATATCCGTTGCTTTGGGACCACTCATCGCTCAGCTTATCGATTTTATTAAGGTGCGTGTCCACTTGTTGCGTATCCTCGATTGTATCACCGTTGTGTGTCAACGTGGACGATACGACACGAGGATACGCACCTTTACAGTCCACACACACTCCACCATTAAAATTCCAATATACAGAAAAGTTTAACAAGCTTTCTACTTTACTCGGAACTCGATAAAATCCTCAACAGAACGAATAAATTTTCGTTACGTGAACCCATGAAATTTTACATTCGTCCAGAGGCAATGGATTTTTTTTGGATCTGTTACGGTAAAAGCGAATCGATAACGCCAAAATATTTCACGATAGGGTTCAATCGATACCGCCAAGGTATCGATACTTTTACTCATTGCTACTATTGTATGAAAGTGTCGATATTTACTCGGTATCGAAACAAAAGTATCGAGTAATGTACTCATATTTACTTGTATCGATTGATCCCTATCTCATGAACCCGACCGGAATGAACGGTGGTGGCCTTCCCCGAACGCAAAACTTTCGCTGGTGTTGCCCAGGGGGTGGCGTAAAACGGGCAGGGTACCCCACCGGAGATCTCCGCGAAACAAGAAGCTCCCGATAAACAAACTGGCAGCACTTAAGCGGGAACCGGGTAAAAGTGCGAATAAACGAGCGTACGGAGCGCTCTGCTCGCCCCCTCCACCTCCTCTGTTACTGCTCGTTTTCCAGTCAACGACTTCGTCCGATGGTGTTGCACTCGCGTGTGCGCTGTTGCACACGGGAAATATGGCGTGCCGCGTGAGTATACACGCACGTGGGACGCAGAGGTGGGGCTTGGCTATTCCTGTACACACGGTTGGAGGCTCTGCAAGTAGCATAACAACGCGGCCCTATTCGACGGTGTGTGCGTCCACGGCCGAGTCAACGCGACGAGATAGGGTGGTGGTCGCTTGATAACGCCACCACGGCGACATCTTTTAATTCCATGGCTCGTTTTTTCGGAATCCCCGTGTTTCCTTGCAGGGCCCCGGGCATTAACTGAACGAAACCTCGTGTTTCAGTTGTAAACTAAGTTAATTTAGAGGGCAACGTTTTTATTCCGAGTACTGATCCTCGTTGATTCGGTACCATTAGGGTTATACGTGATGGCAAGGTTGGACCCGGCAGATACTTTTGTTGGATTCCGATGTTTAGTATTTTAAAAATAATAATTTTATTGTACTAAACTTTTGTATACGAAATCTTACAAGTTTTCAAGAACACTTAGGCTATAGTTTATAGAACTGTTAGTTCTTAGACAAGAGTGTGTGAAAATTCTTAGCGCATCCTTAAGTAATGGTCGGGGAACTAATTTAAGAGGTAGTGGGGATGAGAAAAGTTCCAATAAGGATTTTTGAACATTACTAAGGGTTGATGAGTAAGAGGCTAAAGGGTATGATTCGGGGTCGATGAGTTGAAGGGTCGTGTATGGAAAATAGAAAGAAAATTGAATGCTACTTATCTTAACTAAACGATAAGTATAAAAATATTTACTAGCTTAGAGCAATATCCAACGGTTTTAAGTAGAAAATTATATTTTTTTTCGTATGTCGAGACACATTAGTATTAATGTAGGTGAAATGATTACTTTCTTGAAATATCAACTGTTCTTATTGCACCAGGAGCAATGTACTCTCGAACCGTTCGAAGACTGTTCGGTGTGATTCTTGATGCCCCGATGGAGGGAGAAGGGATTAGTCGACCGGAGTGTCGCGGGCTCGGTTAGTTAACCTCCAGCCACTCGTTTCGTCGCTAATCAAGTGGCTGGCGTATTTACCTGCAATCCTGCGAAATACTGTTGCCCGTTTAGTGACCGTTTATGGGCGTGAAGGTCTCTCTGCGAATAGGGGCTTTCTGTTCTCGATCCCGAAGAGGTAATGTGCATGGAGTTGTTCTTGTTTACGCGATGGTACACTTATTTTAGTTTTCGACACAGTGACTTTTTATTACACCAGGTTGTGCTCAAATCACAAGAGTAATTTTGTCATTTTGTTAGCATTTATTTCAATTCCACAATAAATACATTTACTCAGCATTTGTCGAGTATACTCGTACAGGGATTACATAAAGGGATTAAATAACCATAGGCGTTGAGTTAAAGCCAAGCGAGGTCAAGGCCCCCGTGCTCCACGTATCTGTCCCTTCTGTGGTTGAAGTAGGAATGTACACCTCGATCCTCCCGCCCGATTTCACGATTCCCTCTGCACCTCTATGCCCCCACGAGGGTCCCCAGCGGTCTCCCCTGCTGAAAATGTATTTTCGCCAATGCGAGGCACGCGACTCTCTCGAGTGAGTCGCACGGGCATACTTCCTTCCCTGCCTCCTCTGGGGCTTTTCCCTTCATTCTCATTGCCTTCCGCCAGGTCCCCACCGTTCCACAGGTTTTGTAATGCCTCTCTGTCTCTGGCACTTCCTGTGTTCCGCCACGTTCACCTGTCTGCCGTCGGCACCTGCCTTCATAACTATCTAAGTGTACATACAGTGTATACCACTGGCTGACGAACGAACGTGTATCCTATGGGACTTTAGTTTCCCCGCTCGTCGGTTTCGCTCGGTGCGTTGCGCCTACCGTATATACACGCACACCAACGTCCCACCTGGAAACACGCCGAGTCAAGGCACCACGCAGTCGTTGTTACGCTGTCGCTCACCACGGCCGTAAAGGACAGTCCAGGTTTCGCTGTCCCCGGCTGATAACACGACAACGCCAGCCGGAGCTAGAAGCGTGCGATTAGTGTCCACTACGACCGCCTCGTGACCGGTTCAGGGACTCCGTCCAACCATCTACTGGATCCGCAGGTATATACAAATTCCTTTACCGTGGGTTATTTAATATTCTCTTCCGTTTGTCACCTGATTTTCCGTTCTGTCTTCTGGGACTTTTCCGAACAATCAGGGGGCCTCGAGAGTATGGACTTTCAATACCCAGGTAAACTACGCTGGGATCGATCGGGGATATATTGGGCCATAACGCGATCACCGTGAAAAACCCTATTGTATATATGCATCGAGGGGAATATTGCGGGGGTCGATCCCTCCGTACAGCTTCTACAGCAGGAGGATTATATGTCCATCGTTATTGGCCCCTCGTTGATGTTTAACGGCCGACCTTTTTGTTTTTCCATGACCCGGCGGGAAGGAGAGACAATAGACGGAAGGTGGTTCCGCTGGTGGATGGCGTAGGAATTCCTGAAACTGTGTGTGCTGAACGCCCGCTTAGTACATACCGCCTGGGCGACCCTATCAGACGTTTCTCGTGTGTTCTCCAAAGTGATATATCCAAGGATTTGTTCAGTGTTGTTGTTGCTTCTCGTGGAAGCTCGCCTGGTGAGGATCGCTGTTACAGTGACTCGGTTCGGGTGTTGGGATCGTTTCCACGCGTACTGTCCAACACGATTCTTTGTCCGTCGAGGTTCGCTGGTTTAGAATGACATCGGGACATTGGAGCCGGTAAGTGAATGAAAATCGAACGCCATTCTTTTCACCTTTGTCACAATGGACAGACTATCTACCTGGGATTATTGCGGGATCTTGATTCGGATTTTTCGACGAGGTTTTACTTAGGCCACTTTCATTATTACTGGAACAATCAGTTGCTAACATTATTTATACAGTGTGTGTTTTTAACATCTTGTTACGTACGATTGACCTAGCCGTCGCGCTCAGACTGTCCCGTATTCCGAGAGTCAAGTCGTAACGATCCGATCGACGAGGAGGAATAATAGAGCCCCGTGCGTCGACCGTTCTCCAAACTATATATTTGCTTATTGTCGAGCTCGCAGCTGCGAGCACGTGTTAGGATACCGAGAACTCGCTACCACTTTCGTTTCCCACCTGTTCGTCTTTGTACGT